AATTTATTCTTGACATTTGAGTCAATTTCTAGGATTAAAGACTCCTGATCTTTCGTCAAAATTTTCATAATTCCGCTCAAAACGATCCCAGAACAATGAATTTGCGAGACGAACAGGCCGCCATGAATCAGGTAAAACAATATGTTACATGCAATTTGATTGGTCCAATCGCTTGTAGTTAACCAATCGCTGGGCCGTTTATAATCGAGCTAAGACTTCCGCAACAAATAATGCCTTCAGTGATCTGATTAGTTGAAGCTTTCATACACGTCCAATCGCAGGGCTGTTTACAAACGGAAAACGGAGAGACTGTTCGGGAGAGCTCGTGAAAACTCGACGATAAGGTACCTGACCGCCCCTAAAATTTTCTCAACGGATTTAGACGATTCACAAAAATGATCAATTTCAGAAATAAAACGGCGGATTTCCGCGGATCCGCGGAAAATTGCCATGTATGAAAACTGTCCATAGGTATGAATGTGAGTTGAAATTGATTGTTTTCTTTTGCCTAGAGATGGATGGCAATTGACTCGTGAGTGGTGACCAGTCCAACACCCAAAGTGAACGGGGATATGTTCTTGCTCACGGTTTTTATCATAAATGTGCATGCTGTTTCTCGAGTCAGAATAATACAGCATCCAATGACTAACCAACTCTAGTTTGGCACGTCACACTTTTTTTTTAGTAACTAAATTATTGTTTACCCTCCCAGCAACACCGGGCACAGTGTACAATCAGTATTGATGCTAAATAACATCAGTAAGCAAAATGTTGCATTTTCATCAACGCATACCTGAAACCCAAGCAAAATGTCTATGACGGTGTAGCTAGTTAATGCTTATTTCTCAGTCCACCTTCTGCCCTTAGCGTGTGAGTCTGCACACCATCTTTCAGGTATGCGGGCGTGGCTTTGGGCACTCTCTTCCGCACTGTGAAGGGGAATCACAGGCAGTGGAGGCCTTGGACCTTCCTTCGGCTACCTGCTTTAGGTCGCGCAGCCATAGCTACTTGAGGGCCATCCAGGCTGGTTGCTCCCAGGATGAAGATACGGCCTCTGTGGACTCCGACTCACCACCGCCCACCGCCAAGACCTACAACTCAAACACCAGTGAGTATTGTTCAACCCAAACTTGTGATACAACAGTGAAAGAGAGGATATCATGTTCCATTCAATAACCACATTATGAAATGCGCTATACTGAATTCTGTGCATTGTTTATTTATAGGTAAGAATAAATCAAATAATCACTGAATAAACACAATGAAACATTAGAAATAAGATCGTGGCTGTGCTTACAGCATATAATTTTTTTGGTAAATCAGAACATTTTGTACGTTTCAAGTACAATCAGCTTTCTTAGTACAGCTCAGTTGTTTTAAATTCGAATCAAATTCATTCACATATAACCTTTTTTTATTTATTTTTTGGGGAAATACAATTTTTGTTGAACTTTTATGTTAATAATCTACATTATAATTGAATCATTTAAATCGGCTTTTTTTCATTTACTATGCACAGTGCACATTGTTGCAATGGATTACAACAATACATTTTTTAGGTACAAAACATTTTTCTTGGAAACCTGTTTAACAGAATTTTAATATCAGTCATTGTGGGAATTATTTTATATGAAAAGTTTTTATATCTTTATACTGTGTGTGTGTGTGTGTGTGTGTGTGTGTGTGTGTGTGTGTGTGTGTGTATATATATATATACATATATATGTAACCAACAAATATACAGCAGTGTGTCAGTTTAATTCATTATTATAATGAGTAATACAAATGAAAAACATGGTAAAGCAGTGGGACTAACTAAAACTATTAAATGTGTACACCTCTTTTAAATGAGTTTCGTTGATCAGTCGGCACTTAAATATAATCTGCATGTTGTGATTTTGAGAGTCAAAAGTTTTGAAGTTTGCCTTTTTTTAAACAGTGACTTGTTTGATTTCAGGGCAGTCTTCAATTATGTCTTCATAATTATGTTGTAGATTACATAATGCTGTTTTGTAGTTGCTGAAAAGATAACAAACCCATTACATTCAATAGCTTTGGGTTATGAATTATCATATTACAGTTCATATGGCTGGAGCCTTTGGGGCAGTATGAGATTACCTGATGACCTGTACAGTATTTGTCATCCATGTATGTGTGACTGCCTGTCTGTTTTGTGTCAGTATGAATAATTTGAATTTTTCCAAACAAAATGTCGTACTTATTTCGATAATATAAATAAAACAAGATCCATTTCAAATAGTTTGCATGATCTCATCCAAAATGGCAGACACTTTTGATAGCCTATTCACGATTTCCCAAGCAATCATAATAGTACAGATTTTTGCTTAATATAATCAACAGATCAGTATCAATTGCAAATCGTACCTTTCTGAATGCATGGTATTATTCCTATTATTTCTGTATTACTACTCTTCGGCTTGCACAAGCCTGCAGCATGTTGCTACGCAAGCTTGTGGTTTGTGTGTGACTAGGAGACTTTTTGTTTTGATGAGGGGTTAGTGAGAGGTTACAGAACCTAATCCACTGCGTCGAATCATGTAGATAATTGTCTTTGCCTAAAAAGATTAATGAGGTATAAAGCTAAAAAATTATATTCTGAATATGTCGATCGATAATGACTGCGCGTGCGAAATTCATTAGGCTCGGGTGGGTCGGTTCCCGCGACGTTTGGGACAAACGAAAACTCATTTATCGTTGAGGGGTCGCCACAATGAGAATTAACCCAATAGCTGTGTTCATCGGTGACAGTTAAAGCAATGGTTGTTTTCATCGGTGAAAATACTTATGACACAGTCCAATCGCTGTTCGGGAAATAATTCCAGCAAAGACGTGCACGCCAATCCTCGACGCAGGGCGTGAACTACAAAATCCTCTTTCACAGCGTAGCTGTGTATCTAATGGCAGCGCTCGTTTCCTCTGTCTGTTTCTTCTCGTCTGTTTCAAGAATGGACACAAAGTCACGCTTTTCCACCCGCCGCTGACACAGTAGGTCATTGAATTGCTTTCTCCTCAATCGACGTTTGCATTCGGGAGATTTGATGAAATCCCCCGCGTTAGCAGAAGCACGCTAACCGGGGTTAACCTCAATTGCATTGTAGGTTTGGCGTAGCTAGCTAACGTGGGTGAAGAAAGGAAGGAGATGCTGGCAGTAATGTGGCCGCCCTTGTCAGCGTGGCGTGAACGTGGCGCTGCCGCTTTTCGTGGGTGTGTTTTATCACCGATATTGGGTGCCTCCGCTTGAAGTTGTTCAACATTGAATCGCCTGGCTACGTGGAAACAGGCAGCACACCGTGACAGGAGCGGGCTCGAGAGCACGGCACAAAGCTAACAGGATGTCAGGCGTCAACACATGCAACGACTCGCTCATCTCGATCTTAATAATTTGGTTAGTATTTATCATTTGCCATCCATCCATCGTGACTTCCATAGATGTGCGTGTGTGTTGACTATTTGAGCTCGGTCGCCAAATGCTATTAAACCCGAACGTTCAGATATGTTAATGCTGTCATTATTTAATTTGGTGAATAGTAAAGTTTGGCGTTGGATGTGGAAAAAATGGTGTTATCCCAGGACGGATGAAAAAAACGTAAATCACGTTTCACTCCTTGCCGTTAATGGAGAACTTTCGAACGCATCTTCCTTGTTATTGTTACATACTGAATTAATAATGTTCAGCTTCCTGCTTTGTGTACACTGAAAGTTTGTGCTTTGCATTGGAGCAATTTAAAGTCCTAGGTGCCTTTTAAACAACTCGCCTGACCACCAGAGAGGCATGTGCACTCAAAACGTAGTAATAGCTGTTAGCTTGATGGAGATTGTTTTCTTTTTTTGGGAGTGCAGCTTTTGTTATTGTCCACTTTGACATATGAAACGCTTATCCTCACGAGGGTCGCGGGTATGCTAGAGCCTAACCCATCAGTCTTCACAGCAGGCGGGGCACACCCTGAACTGGTTGCCAGCCAATCGCAGGGCACATCTTGACAAACAACAATTCACACACACGGCCATAATCACAATCACACCTAGGGCCAATTTAGAGTGTTCTAATTAACTTACCTTACAGGTTTTTGAAATGTGGGAAGAAACCGGAGTATCACAGAAAACTCACACAGACACAGGGAGAACTTTGGGATTGAATGAATTGTTTTACGCTATATATACACCATCAATGTGTTCATTGAATTGGCTGGCTTTATCTCAGAGTGTGGTGTGTCTTGAGTATCACCATGGAGAGACACAATGAGTCATCCTGAACTATTACACATGCTTCCGCTCACTCTTTGATGAGGTCAGCTTTCGACTGAATGGGAGGCGCATCACTAGTTTCACATCACTGTGCTTGTGGCCAGAAACTTGACGGTGCAGTTTACCTTCACACATATACGTTGGGAGACCAGTTAACTGTTAGCAATATGTTAACCTGTCTAAAAACATGAAATCATACTGTGGATGGAGGAGATGGTCAATTTCATCAAATCTTTTGTTGACAGAATTTATGGAGAAATAAGTCACCCCCTTCCCAGAAAAATTACATACATGGGGTGATCAATTGGCCTTAAGAGGCTTTGATTGGATTCACAGATCACACATTTTTTTCACGATTATCGGCCACCGATCGATGGGACCATCCCTAGACCTAAGAGTTACAATGCATCAGTCATGAGGTAAAGTAGGTTGAAAACTCGGTACTTATTGAATTGCAAATCAATTTTTTACATCACTACACTATGCGCTGGGTAGTATGTAATAGGTACTATAATCAATTTGAATTTGTCTGTGGAACAGAGTTTGGGTGTTGTCACTGCACAAATTACTTTATGTACAGTATGTACATGTAAGTGTCTGTCACCTAAGATTTTCTGTTAAAAATTTTAGAGTAAAACATTTTTTTATTATTGCTTTGATGCATTGTTTAGGTTGTTGCTGTCAGTTGCTGCTCGCTGTTTCGCAAATGCTCATACAAAGATGAAACGGTTATTAAGTTTGAAATAATAAAAGGCCATACACCTATTATTAACAAATAATGGCACGTCTGCCATGTGCACTCCTGTGTTTCGGTTTCACGCCCTGAAATTGATATATTTGCATGATCAGGTTATTCTGTTCCTTTAAGTCCAACAGGATTTACCAGTAAGTGCCGGTTTACTTGACACTAAATTCACCGGGGGTGAAAAGAAAACTTTCAAGCAGTAGCAAGTCAACTATTTTAGTTGCATTTTGCCTTGTTGAGAAATATAATGTTCTCTCGGCGCAGTTTATGCTGCAGTTGTTCTGAGGGAATGATTGGTTTTCCCTCTATTTGTCAGAAACTCTGCAATGTTTTGGCCTTTCAGTCCACAGTTGGAAGCAAGCCATATTATTTTCGCATAATACTGCTGACCTTATATCTTTTATCGCTTGACTCCTATGCATACTTTCACAAAGGATCTACTACAATGGGATTGTGAGCTGGCTCTTTGTGCACTTTGATATGAGTCCATGTGAAAATGTCTAACAAACCATGCCCCTGCAAAGACGTTCATTTGACACTCATTCAATTCTTCTGACGGTGGATGAAAATGACAGCGGTGGCTAGAATTGCCAAACCCAAACTAGAGCACTTGCTTTTGAAAAAAAAAACATTCATGGAAATGCACTGGAAATTTTAGCCGTCTTTATGCCTTAACATTTTCCATTGACACCAGTTAAAGGCCCAAGAGTGAAGTAAACTTGGCCAACCATCTTTTGAGTAATATTTAGAGCTAGAACTATTTCAAGTATAGTTTCGTTTTTTAACCCACCCCGATTCATAGTTAGACTCACAGCAACGCGCTTAACAACGAAAATGCTTTTGTTCGGCAATGTCCAGCGAGTGACGTCAATTATGGAATGCCGAGTGCCAGTCAGCCAATGTACTGCATTGTTGATTGTCCCATTAACTGCTCTTTGTGATTGTTACGGAGTTATTCTGCAAAATGCCTCGGTTTGAAAAATCGCTTTCTGGAGCAATTTCTAGCTGGCTTTGTGCACTTTCCATACCGAGCTGCGCCATTGTTGTTCTTGAATTGACGTTACACTTCCGCGTTTGTCACACGCCAGGGTTTCACTTCGCGAAAACGATTATTTTATCAAATAGTCGAAAGGGATTGAAGCACTTAACACCATAAAATAATTACACGGCAGGGCTTTTCTCTCATTTTAGATACAGCAACCAAGACCAAGTCTTAAATAGTGGCTGTAACTCTGTGATATTATTATGTATTGCAGAGACGATACAATAGTTTTTATCGTGCCACTTCCCTTCTATGGTTCCTATCATCATTTATCCTCTTTCAATATTTACGTTGGATCGAATGGCTGCACTATCAGCGACAGATATCACAAACTTAAAACTGTGCGCTCTGAAAAATAATTGGCATACCTTTTATTATTTACTGAAAATGTCTGAAACTTTTTTTGCCTTTTTAAATTGATATGTACATTTTGTGCAAAAATGTAGGCTACTGTGCCTCTTGTTGACACTTGATTATTTGATTTTCCAGGCAGCAGTACTGCAGGCATTTTTCATTTGATCCAAGTCTGCTGCAATTTAATGATGGCTTTGCTACTGCTCCCTGTTATTAGGTGATGAGCAGTGCCCTCCCAATTACAGTGTTGAGTTGCCATTTTAATTTCGAAGCGACGAATGCCTGAGTGACATTTTGAACCTTTTTATGGATTGGCTTGAATATGCGTTCCAGCCATCCTGTGTGGAGATTGCCTCGTTTTGTCAAGGTAACTCGGCTTCCTCCCATGTTCCAAACACGTGCCTGTCAGGTGAAGATGCAAATTTCTTGAGGTTATACACTAGAGCTCGAGTGACATTTTAATCTATGCACTGTGTGTTGCTATTTGTTTAGCCCTTTGTACTTTGGGAATGACATCGGGGGACCAATCCATAAGTCACTGTTGTTTTGACTCCAGGAACAGGGATTTCAACAGCCGTCGTTCTTGACTCTCAAGGGGGCCAAAACCTCTCTTACCTCTTGAGCTGCCTAATATCCTCTGTTAAATTCATTATTTATGGGGCAAACTGTTAAAAAGGACGCATTCATCCTGGGTTTGAAAAGAACTTTGAGCATAGATGGTAATTAGGTGTGCAGGAGTGGCGTGCAAAGGACAATCCCCGGAGTCAGACTGATGTAAGTGGAGCGTAACCCCCAGCAGCAGGTTGACAGGCAAATAGTGGTAGCTTTTTGCTGTACTTGGTAGGCAGCCAGCAAGTGAAGGTTTTTGTTCAGATAGGTGGAATTTCTTTTCTTGTTTTGCACCTTGTGTCTTATTACATTGATTGCATTTTTAACTGATTTGTTTCAGCACCGAGCTGTTAAAAGTGACGTTGGTAATCAGGAATAAGCAATTCTGAGCAATCTTTTCTTTTTTTTCTGTCTGCAGTCAACAGTAGGAAGGCTCCACCTCCAGTCCCACCCCGCACCACCTCCAAGCCTCTCATCTCGGTGACACTTCAGAGCAGCACAGAATCGGCCCAAGACACGTACCTTGACCAACAAGACCACGCCAGTGAAGCCAACAGCCAATCAGGACGCAGCACTTCCTCTGAGAGTCTCTGTAGCATCCGCACCAGCGATCTGGCTAAGAGGAAGCAGGCTCCCACGACTGACCCAGCCGCTTCCCTTGCACCTGCTGTAGCCTCTGTACCCCCTGTTCCAGCTCCTCGTGACCTTCCACCCACTACCTCTTCCACCACTTCAACATTGGCTCAGCCCCAAAAGAACACCCTGAACACTGGCGTCACTTTGGAGCAGCCCCCCACTGCACCCAAACGAAAGCTATCCTCCATTGGAATTCAGGTGAGATTTTGTTGACCCTTCAGTTGAGATGAAAATCATCTCCAACTTTATCACATATAAAGTTCAATATTGAATAGTGAAATTCAAATATTATTTGTGGCTCGATATAAATCAAACAAAAACGGTGTTGTTGTATGAAATTATTAGGTGGATTGCCTTCATCCGGACCCAAGAGAGGAACTTTTACCCTTGACTGCCCCCCTTAAATTCCAGTCAATTGGAGTTCAAGTGGAGAACGGCAGACCGTAAGTGTACACTCTAAGTGATCAAATCACAAGACATGAAAGAGTCTGATAGGACATTGTTGAAGACTTGACTTTTGAAACTAAAAACAGAATTTTCACAGTACTTGAAATACTTTATTAAGCCTTGTTCAAACACCCCTATGAAATTTTGTTTCCTCACAGGGTATATCAGATTGTCTTAAACTTACCCTTTTTTCCTAATGTAGACTGGCAACATTTTATTTTGTGAGAATTGCTTGACTAGTTTTTTTTTAAACTAATATATATACAGCAATTTAAATTTCAAATAACTATTTTGCCTTTGTCTTTTTAAAAAGATTAAAAAACATCTTGTGGCATGCGTTTTTGTGGTTGACACAACCGAGTTCATTCCCAGCCCTAATGAGAAGGTGATTTGCTCCAGAAAAAAAAACACGGGCAGAATTAGAATCTGTGCAAAAAAATGTAGGAAAAATGTACTTGAATTGCCAGTTAAAAAAAAAAAATTGTAAAAATTTGACCCGTGTTATTTATTGTTCTGTATTTGAATGGCAGTGTTACATTTTCTTGAGAATTAAGTTAATTGCTCTTAAAAAGGATGCGTCCGACTTGAATTCTCATCTGATATCATTCTATCAGTGGTATTAAAACCCCCCACAGTACCATACGATCAATTATCATGATGTATGAAAATCCTAAAAATGTGGTATTGTGTCAAACTTACTGACCATTTGTATTAATCAAATGTATGAAGTAGACCAATTTTGAACAGAGGAGTTTTCCGCCTGTCACTTCCGTTATGTGATTTTGGTGCCAATTGATGCTGGCTGGCATGTCTGGCGCTGTACTCTGTGTTCCTGTGTAGTCGAGGATACTGCACATCAGCTCTGTGGTAGTGAAAATTCCGTTTTAGAGGCGTGATGTCATCGTTGTTTTTTTTTTTTTTTTTTTTTTTTTTTTAACCCACCCGAGTGTCTGTCAGACACTGATTTTTATGCGTGTCTGTGCAGTCTTAGCCGGGACAGCAGCATGGCCTCCAGACAAAATACAGAGACCGAGCCTCAGGAGCCCCACGGAGCCGCACCCTTGGAAAGCAACAAAGCCAACGGCACCAGCCCCAAAACCACAAATTCTAACGAATCCAAGGCGAAGGACAAAGCCACAGAACAGCGTTCTCTTAAACAAACCTCAACTCCACTGGGAATGTCCACCTCGCCGCCACAGACACTGGACCCGGCTTTGGATCCTTCGTCACTGCCACCACCGGATCCCAGCCTGGCGCGCGGAAACTGCAACGCCCAAGGAGACTCGTCACAAGCCGGCACGCCGGCTTGCCTCCGTGACGGGAACTGGTTCCTGAAGCTGTTGCAGGCGGAAACGGGCCGCATGGAGGGCTGGTGTCAACAGATGGAGCAGGAGACCAAAGACAACAAGTTGTCAGAGGAAGGTCAGAGATCGGATGAGGTCATGATTGCGCAGTAATCTGTACATGTTGAGAAAAGTACTTAAGTCACAACTGTTTGCTCACTTTCATCACCCCCAAAAAGGCGGGAGAAAAACTCCCAGAATACCACTCGGGCCATTAGGCAGATCTATTATTGCGCTTGGTGAAATATGAATGAGTGGAGGGCCGACTCACTTGAGAGCCTCCATCAGATTACCAGGCTTCGCAGCTCTCCGCAGACCTGACTGATGAATTTCCATTTCAATACAAATATTCGGTGGAAAGCAGCGGAATAGATATTTGTCATCCTTCCTGAGATTGAGTTAATAAACATCATCTAAGCGATCCATTTGCCATCACAGAATGTTAAGTGCTCAGATCAATATTTCATGACTATATAACAATAATACTGTACTTGATGTGCAGTCACTTCCTCCCCGGTCTTGATGCATCACTCATCTGATGCCCGTAGGCATTTTACGTGCTGTTTGTGGTAATGAATTCTTTGTCTGACTTGTAGTATTGGGGACCATCCGCAGCGCAGTCGGCAGCGCCCAACTCCTCATTTCACAGAAGTTTGAGCAGTTCAAGGGGCTCTGTAATGAAAACCTGGTGAGAGACTCTGCCGGAAGCATAAAATCCCTCATGATTGATTTACTGGGAGTGCTGTTTTCCGTGCTCATATTGTCTCTGGCTTGCATGTTGAGTTGTAGTTTTTCTTCTGTTGCCTTGAAATGGGAGACACGCATGCCGGTGCTGATCGTCTCAAAGCCGCGTCTTCGTTGATTCCGTTCTTCTTCTATCACCCATCAGAACGTCAATGCCGACCCACGCCCAACAGCACAGGACCTTGCGGGGTTCTGGGATCTGCTGCAGCTCTCAATAGAAGACATCAGCATGAAGTTTGATGAGCTCTACCAATTGAGAACCAACAACTGGCAACTTCCGGAGAAATCAGAGGTCAATTTTGTCGACAAATTGGTGTGTGCACCCCGCTTCCCAAAACACAAAGGTGACCTTGCTCTTCGGTCTCCTCAGGTTGAAAACAAGCAGCTTCCATTGTCCGTGCCAAAGAAGCAATCTAAGCCCAGGCTATCAGCTGGGAAGGACAGAAGCGTGGACTCGGCTGTGGACAAGCAGCGACAGGAAGCCAGGAAACGCTTGATGGCAGCAAAACGTGCGGCGTCTGTGCGACAGAACTCTGCAACGGAGAGCGCCGACAGCATCGAAATCTATGTCCCCGAGGCACAGACTCGCCTTTGAGTAGGCCATCACCTATCATCGGTGTCTGCGTTCACTCAGCGACTCAAAACCGGACCGAACCGAATCATCCACACATGTACAACGGATGCATCGGTCCAACATGTGGATCCAAACATTGCGGTCAGCCCTTCAGCGGAACACAAAACAAACAAGCAGGATGTTTAATACGATTGATATTACTGACTTTATGCTAATTATATTCTCCCCAAGTATATCAAGACTGAGATGTGCGAGTACCTTTTAGACAAGGACACAGCGAAGAATCTTGGTATGGCCCAAGTTTACCGTCTCTCAGCTCTTGGGAGTGGACCGACACGTTGTGGTTGCCTGGTTTACGATGTGAGCGACCATTCATACACACTCAGGACACACATGCAGGTGTACTCGCTGACCACAGAGTCTTCCTGTTCTCTCTTTGTATATGGCTGCCACGCTTTGGCTGTACTCTTTACCGTGTAAAAGTTATGGGACGAGGGTAGGAAGGCAGAGAACCAGAGGAAGGCAGTAGCATATATAAATATATAGTATAAATAACACACTATTATGATGTTGATTTTGTAAATGTTGTATACCAGATTATTTGTTAGAAAGAGCGGTGTTCAGAAGTTGTGTTTTTTTTTTTTTTTTTAATGAATAGATCAATTACATGTCCTGTCAGGTTATATTAGCACTTGATGCAATCATTTTTGACTTCACCCCCCCATAGCTTGTCTCACAAACGCACACTACATAGTCTGTGTCTGTGATTGTCATCATTTTTAAGTCTTACATTTGTTGGGTTTGTTTTGAGGTGGTATTTTTTGGAAAGCACTGCTCAGCCAATGAGCTTTGGAGGAATGTATTGCACGTATGCATTTTGCAGCACATTCCAACTTGATCACTGCACTTTCACCTCAGATCAAGTTTCCTCGTCTTTATTTTTTCTTTCGTTCACCGAATCATTATGACTTTACCTGCAACATGTGACGCAGGGGACCAAGACACCCACCACTTGATATGTCATTCCCATTTACCCAGACCACGTGAGTGTGTGGGAGTTTTCATACCACTGGAATGGCAATGGAAAAGCAATAATGAAATGGAATTTTATCAGTGCATGCGGTGCAGGACATGCCCAATGTCATTTTACTATTTGCCTCGTAAGGCTCTCTTGGCATGAAGGATGAATGTTTCTTTCACTTGTGAACTGTCTTTATCCACTTCAATCTCAGGTTGAAAGCTCAAAGTCAGAAGAACCACTACAAATCGAATGGGAATTTACACCAATCGCTCATGTGAACCAATTATGAAATTGTTCGAACCCACAAGCTGGTTCATGCGTCGATTTTGGTGCAAAGCAGACATCAGTTTTTGACTCCACTTTTCACACTCAGCTGTGTTAAAACATGACTAATTGTGGTACTCCCCCATCCATATGACACATCCTCCTCCTTCTAGCTAAAAGGCCTGTAATTTTAATCACATATGGTGCTGCAAGGAATTTCCTTTTGTGCCAAGACGGCAGTGGTCATCAACATCTGTGTCATTTGAGATTTTTTATTTTTGAGGTGTTTTTATTATTTAATGTACTTAAGTCTTAGCAAAAGTTTTTTGCAGCACCTCCAACGGTACACACGTGTAGCCTGGCCTGAAGCCGGATGAAAGGGTTGAGCCACTTGTCAGACTTCACTCACGTCCAGCTGGTCAGTCCCCGCATTACACTCCAATTATAATGTCCTGCCCAATTTTGAATCAAAGCAAAAATAACATTAAATTGTCAATGTTGACAGTGCATCCCATTGTTGTTGATTTTATTTTATTTGTATTACATCAACCGTGGACATGTGCATTTCCATTCTCCAAAGAAATCATTAAACATCCCTTTGCTACATGTCCTGGTCATCATTCTGCGTCTTTTTTTTTTAAATTACACCAGTAGCTGGTCACATTCAGGTTAGATATGTTATCCTGACTAATGTTAACGCATGGCTTTCATACGGATAAAAATATTTAGATCTCGAACGAGTACTCCTTTAAACGGGTTTTGTAAATGTGGAGCATTGAGTCTCTGAGGTGTTCTAGAAAGTACGTTCAAGACTGATCCCTTATTCCTTCTCATGATGATTAAGAGTCTGAGCAATTTGCTTACCTGTCCTTCCCGAGTTTCCAAGGGCTAAAAATGGGCACATGATGTGAAGGCACAACTTTGAAGACAGATTTTTCCATGGGCCGTTTCGCGCAATATTGTACTGGTGCATTTCTTTCAGTGGTAAATCTGATTTGGTAAGAGTGAATGACAAACGCGCGCCAATTCTGCCGTCATGGCTATAATTCATCCTCGGTGGTGGCGCAACACAAGTGAGCAAAACGTTACAAACTGCCGTAAGCACATATATTACAACTGATGGTTTGATTAATGTTATGATGTATTGCCGGTACTTGGACACTATGAGGCTGGTTTCTTCTGAGCGCGTACCTGACATTTTGAATAGACTGGACTTGTCGAATTAAAGTAGAATGCCACTAAATGTTTGAAGTGTCTTTTTTTTTGTACCTTTGGTATACAGTACGTTGAAACAAATTTTCAAATTTCTTCGAATATTGATTCTTTTTAATAAAAGAAATTAAATCGTCTCTGTATTTTCTGCTAAATATATGCCTATTAAATAACCGGTGATGCCACAGGTCACATGGAAAAAAAATAGTTAAGTGTGTTGCACAGCAATCCCTAATTAACAGAAAATAATGGCCTCTCGATAGGGTGTCTCAATCAAAGCCCATACCTGAATCAAGTTGCAAATCCGCGAAGTAACCAGGCTGTACACAATTCATTCTGGCAGACTGCGAGCACCTTTTCAAGGGAAACGATTTCAGATATGTCAGAAACATGCTATTCATCCAAAAAATCAAGGGCTACTAAAGCAAAAGGATCGGATGGAGATAAGTCCTTCGACTTTGATGTTGAGAACATGCGTCAGTTCATTCATGAATACGCTGGTTTCTGACAAAAGCGCCCCCTTGCGTCATAGATAATGTACATAGCGCTCCCCGCCGTTTGCATTGTGAATCTTTCGTCAACGACAAATAACAGAAATACAGTACATGAACTGTATAACAAGCGCCAAATCACCTTCACAGTAAAAGTGATACGTTGGTTTCAAAATGTACTTTGTTCATTTATCATGTTGAATCCTTACAATCTTCTTATCGAAAATTTAGTTTTGTACTCTCGCAAAGTCAAAAAGAAAAAAAGAAGAAATTGGAATGGTGAGTTTCTCATGCAGGCGGCTGTATCCCTGGGCCTAGAACACCACTGCCAAAACTTGAACACCACCATAGATTTTTAATTCAGTGTACGATCCCCCAAAAGACAACATCAAATTGGTAACATTTCATGTTTGAAACTTTTCATACACGAATAAGCTATATGCTAGCAACGAAGCAGCTATGGCAAATGTTAGGTTGTGACAGTGCCCATTGCACAACAGCTGCGTGTTGCATGCATGCATGTTCAGCTTTGGTCAGGGACGGCGTGGGCTGGTGGCAAAGTGAAGTGAAAAATACAAAATACAGTCAAGACAAATACAAAATACATTAAAATCTTGGTAGCAGTTTGAACATCACAGAGTGGACACTTAAAATCTATATGTGGCCCTCGAGCACTCCTCTATTTGAATATGTACATTTACCGTACCTTAAATTTGGAGGATAAGAAAGAAACCGTGTTCATAAATGATGGCGATCATCTGTTTTAATTTGTCGCTTTTGCCGGATCTCATAGTTGTTGTGAAGGTGAACTTTTGAGCAGGCTACACTTCCTGCTAAGACGCCAGAAGGAGGAGCAGAAAACATCCGAGGAGAGGAAGGTGTCGCCAACTGATAGGAATACTTGAACAAAGAAAAAACCAACATTGATCGACACCTGCCGTGGACTAGGTGAGTCCTCAAAGTTTGCTCTTTGTTTCCGCACTGTCAAACGCTTTGTTCTTTCACCATAAGGTATTGTTTAAAACTGAAATGAGGAACTCTGCGGCCGGTAACGTAGTAAAGTCTCGAGCAGCTTTGAAGTGTGACGGGCATTACTTGCGCATTAATGTGGTATTTTCGACGTGATAACTTTCACGGATTTTCACTTTGTAGTGCTTTGCCCAATTTAATCCCACAATTTATATCCAGTGACTTTGTATTGCTGATTGTTTATTATTTATAGTCTGTATTTGATAGTCTATTTGTGACGCGATTCCAAATGTGTATCTTTTATTATTATATATATTTTTTAATATTGACTTGTCTACTAAATGATCAGTAAATTGACCTATTATTAAGCACTGCGTATCTACTTGTAAACTGTTATTTTCACCAATTTTCCACAATCATATCCTGCTTCTAAACATCTTGTGCCTTGGGCTGTCCTGCTCTGAACCTTGAATGCTATGAACATACCATCCGATCCTCCACAGAAAGATGCTGACTTCATCGTGACAGTGACAAGGGAACATCAGCAAGCTGACTCGCCATGGCTGCTCGGCATCAGAGACCAGCGGACATGGCAGACGGCTCAATGGAGTCCAAAAAGACTGAGAAAAAGTGCTGTAAGTGGTCTGTTGTCTCTCTGTGCCTCAAGGGCGAAAGGCGGACTCAGTTGAGGTCCTTAAGTATTAACTATTCAACGTTGTATAATAACCCAGGTGAAGTACCACTCGTGAGTCTTATTCAGAACGACGTGAAATGCGATTGGCTAGACTCTAGATGGATCTGAAATGATTGCATAAATGATTTTTATGAAGGAGCTGATCTTGACTGCCTTAACGATTAAGAGTCTGGTCTGGTGAGGTATTTGCTCTTGTGCGTTTGTCTTGCTTGTTTGATTTTTTTTTGAAAACTGTTCACTGAATTACCATGTGATGTTTTGTTCTCCCAAGCTCCACTAGGTGACTAATCACATTGGCTAAAAAGTCACCCATCAGACATGCAGGTGTGAGTGAAATATTCGTCTGAGTGTTATACTGTAGCATTGACTTGCTATTCCTCAGCATGCCTTTGTTTACATAAATATATTGATGAAAAAGGGGTCCTCAGTTTATGATGGAGTCCCCCCATCCTATGGCAGCGATGTCACCCAAATTTTAATTTGGAGCGCGCCGTAAGCTGTCACTCTCCCATGCAAATAATTGAACGGATAGCACATGAAGACCAGATATTTAAAACAACCAAGCGAAAAAGAGGAAGTGCGGTGGCAACTTTGTTGTGTCGCTTGACAACGTATCCTTCCGCCGTTGTGCAAACTATTAAGGCTTGTTTATCGTCTCAGCCTGGGCCTCCTACATGACCAATTCTCCAACTGTGATTGTGATGATTGGGCTGCCTGCTCGGGGGAAAACCTACATGTCCAAGAAGCTGACGCGCTACCTCAACTGGATTGGTGTGCCGACAAAGGGTAGGTATCAAGTCATGAGTACATCTAAAGCCTACTGAGTTTTAACGTCACGTCACAAACACTCATTCGCTTGTTTGATTCTGCAATTTCACTTCACTAAAACACTTATTAGCTGTAAACGTAAACCACCAAAATGAATTATCATGCTTGCATGACGCCCACAAAACGTACCGGTACTTAAAAGTTCTAAGACTGCAATGATAGTGATCGCGCATATGAGTCAAAAGAAGTGACTTTGTTTTCCTCCTTGCAACTGATATTATTTGAAAAGTACCTTGGAATTAAATTTAGTCTTGTAAAAAGAAAGATCTCCACACTTGTGTGTTTGTCTTTTTTTGGGGGGTAGACTGGGGCGAGGTGAAAAATAGCTGTCACTTGGTCTGACTTCTCTTCTATTTTGTAGCACCGTAACATTTGCCTTGTCGTCTTCACTGTCTTCATCGCATCCTGCTCCTCTTTCAAGATTCATGTCTTGGTCTGTTAAAAATAGGTGAAAGACAACTATTTCTAAATGTGGTATAGCTACTAAATACAGTAGTAGCAATTATTTAAACGTTTTTTTTAAACTATAATACTAAGCGTCTGTAATGTTGAGTGCAAAACTGTTTGGTTACTTAGGCACGGTCTGACTATCCTTTCACTTGCTTGGCTGAGTCCTTGTGACTCTTTTGATTAGCTGATAAGTACTTGAACCAACGACTATACTTCTACCTTCTTAGCTGCTTGACTGAGTTACTTGCGTCTTGACGGAATTGCTTAAGATTAGCTGATCAACACTCAAACATACTTAAGTGGGATTTGCTTAAGACTTGATATGACTAACCCAACAGAGTCAACAGTATGGACCACGGGCTATTTGTGCCTTGCCACGCATTTTGGTTGTGACACACAATGTCAACCAAAAATATTTGACACAGTCTACAATGCTATTTGAAAAGGGAAAAAGATGTTGCTTTTGCTGAGATTTTTCTAGATATGCTAAGAGCAAAACAACTGTTCGCAGATAAAAAAAATAACAATTCTCTTCATAACACCACCGTGACTAAAGATTAGTTTCGCAAAAATGGTTTGCTCCACTTTCTGCTCTCTGCACTTTTGAACATAACACATTACTTATTCCCAGGTAAACGTTGCTTCTTCATAAATTGCCCTTGTTTTGGTTCTCATCTCTCTTTTGTGTGCATTGCGCATCCAGTGCAGCTTTGTTGAAGCATATGAGCATGTGTGGACATATTCCGTCATTAAACTTAACCACTTCATTAAAGCCAACAAACCAGTGAACTTACGGGTAATAACAAAACTAAACAAAACAACATAGCAGTAGTGGGCAGTTTTTCAATGATTAAGAAACAGAAATGGAGTTAGAAGGTTTGTTATCTAAATGTGTGTGTGGGGGGGGGGGGTACCACTCCCCCTTCCTTCCGTCCCTCCCTCTCTCCCTCCCTTATGTCCTTGTATCTATTTGGCAAAACAAACCAAAGACCTTTCTTTCTCAGGTTCCATTCTTAATCACTCACACACTGTTACTTCCTTGTTGTAAATTGTAAACTGCTGGTATGTTCTGAGATGTTCCTCCAGTCTCTTCTTGAACTGTATGTGAGGTATGTGATTGTGTCCATGTCAACACTGCATCTCTCTGTAGTTGTACTCTGTTGGAATGCAGGTGAACCGGTTCGGAAGGCGCAGCTGAAATGAAAGTCACCGCCCAGAACAGTTTTTGCGCCGTAACTCTCTCACATGTCTTATCCACAGTATTCAACCTTGGAGTTTATAGGAGACAAGCCGTGAAGTCATACAAGTCTTATGACTTTTTCAGACATGACAACGCAGAAGCCATGCAAATAAGAAAGTGCGTAAAACGAGACTAGCAAGCTCGTAAACTACTTTGACGTATAACAAATAAAACTGGCTGTGCTTTTCAGGAGCATTCATAAAACTTTGTTTTTAACAGACAGTGTGCTCTGGTGGCACTACAAGATGTCAAGTCCTACCTAAATGAGGAAGGAGGGCAGATAGCTGTAAGAAAACTGAGCACTATGTCTCAGGTTTTTCTTCATTTGGACTGAATGCCTCGTTTTTCCGTGCAGGTATTTGACGCGACCAACACCACCCGGGAAAGGCGGGAGCTCATCCTTAATTTTGCAAAGAAGAATGCGTACAAGGTCAAAACCCCTCTGATAATACATTGTCAGGTCACAGTACACATATAGTTCGTGTCATAATAAGTTTTTCTTCTGTCAGGTATTTTTTGTGGAATCTATATGTGATGATCCGGATGTCATTGCTGCAAACATCCTGGTAATTAAAGCAAAACTAAAGTGTTTTTAGAAGACAGAAAAAGCAAACCACTTACTCATTTTGACGCTTCAATGCAAACTTCCAAGTCCCATTCTGGCATCATAATGTTCTGTTCTCCCATGTTTATAGGAAGTGAAGGTGTCCAGTCCAGACTACCCAGAGAGGGACAGAGAGAGTGTCATGGAAGATTTTCTCAAGAGGATAGAATGTTATAAAGTAACTTACCAACCTTTGGATCCAGATGACCATGACAAGTAGGATGTTTTATATGGCATAGACATGAACCTGTGCCATTTATTCCTTTTACTTCTTGAATAAAAAAAAAAAAAAAAACAAAACAAAAAAAAAAAACATTGTGATGTTGCACAAATTGGCCAGCAGAGGGAGAGGTACAAGTTCTACAGTATTACCGTATTGGCCCAAACATAAGACGGCCCTGATTATAAGACGACCCCCTCTTTTTCAAGACTCGAGTTTGAAAAAAGACTTTTTGAACACCAAATACATTTTTATAGAGAAAATAATTACAGTACGTCTGAAACAAATGATTCTAACAAGATATTTGAGAGAAAAAGCATGCTATTTTGCCTCATTCATATATTAATATCTGAACATTTAAATATGTAAACTAAAGTGCAATCACATTCGTAAATGAATGGCTTCTGGTTTTTGAAATGTAAATGACATCATCAGCTGCCAGTTAACCTTCGACCCACTTTTCTCCAGATTGTCGCTACGTTTCTCCATTTTCTGTTATCTTTTCTATTATTTTCTTCTCTTTTCTTTCTTACCACTATTTTGGGTTTTTCTTCTTCGTGCTACCACTATTTTTATTTTTTCTTCTTCGCGACAGGGGTTCGCTTTGGCTGGGAAGTCAAGTTCAGCATTCGCTTCAATGGTATCTGGCGCCATCTAGCGTCGTGAATGGGTATAATGTCTAGACCCCGAATATAAGACGACCCCCACTTTTTCAGTCTTATTTCAATGCAAAAAACACTGTCTTATATTCGGGCCAATACGGTAGTTGTTATTTATGTACACTTACATCAGTATAATTGTGTACTGTGGTATTCATACACTTCCAAGACCCTTTTAGTGAAAGCCCGATGTATCTGGTAGTCGAGAGACAATTGGAGAGACTGCAGCAAAAGTACTAGATTTTTCTTCTTCATACTTTGAGAATTTTTTTTTTTTTTTTTAAACAAATTCAGTTACTGTTTGTTTCTGTGAGCCTCAGAGTCCGCCGTCATCATTTTGTGCTTGCAGGTGCCTGTCCTTTATTCAGGTCATCAATGTCGGCCGTCGGTTCCTGGTCAACAGGGTGCAGGATTACATTCAGAGTAAAATTGTCTACTACCTCATGAACATCCACGTGCACTCCCACTCCATCTACATATGCCGACACGGAGAGAGCCATCACAATCTGCAAGGACGCCTTGGCGGAGATTCTGAGCTGTCAGACAGAGGCAAACAGGTGCTGAGCTCGCTATTGCTTTTTGCGCAGTACAACGTTTAATGTACGTTTCTAATACGGTTCGATGAATCGGGAATTTGTTTTGGCCTGTCTTGTTATTTTTCTATATGCTAACTCCACTTCCTTCGCAGTTTGCTGTGGCACTGAAAGGTTTTGTGGATGAACATCGTCTGTCAGACCTGAAAGTTTGGACCAGTCAGTTGCGGCGCACCATTCAAACTGCGGAGGAGCTTGGTGTTCCCTATGAGCAGTGGAAGATCCTGAATGAGATTGATGCAGTATGTCATCTAAACAGAAAGGCGCACTGGGAGGCAGTCATCGGGTGGTTAGGGTTTTATTGCTTTGGGTTTCAGGGAGTGTGTGAAGAGATGACTTACAAAATGATTGAGGAAACCTACCCAGAGGAGTACGCCATGAGGTACCAGGACAAGTATCACTACCGCTATCCTGGAGGAGAAGTAATTGCACATTTCATTTGAGTCATGAATGACGGGTTGAGTCAAGCTCACATCTTGCTTTTAACTGGACGCTGTATGAACTTTTTGTTTTGGCTTTAGTCTTACCAGGACCTGGTGCAGCGGCTGGAGCCGGTGATCATGGAGCTGGAGCGACAGGGCAACGTGCTGGTTATCTGTCATCAGGCCGTCATGCGCTGCCTGCTCGCCTACTTCCTGGACAAGAGCGCCGGTAGAGAAGCATGAGAATATAATATGGGGATAAGCCTGTTTAACCAATCAAACTGATTGTCCGAGTTATTATTTTTCACTTCTGAAAATATAGAAGCGATTCCAGTTCACATAATTCTTCTGGGTTGGGTTTGATCAACACCAAAGATACAAACGAGACATCCAGCTGTAGCAACGCATTACACATTTAAAGAGACAGAAGTGTATTTTTGTATGACTCAGATAGTCCGAGTCACAATTGGGCATGGACAGAGTATTGACGAGAAAAACCAAAAAGGCATGTGGCTTTGGTTACTTTTCGCCCTTCCTCCTGTCCAAAGGGAAATAGCATTGTCGTTTGAACACAACACCCCGCATAGGCCACAGAAAGCGGTTTGCCACACCGCACAACAAAGAAAGTTGACCCTTTGTACTTCTTTGTCACAGATGACCTGCCATACTTGAAGTGTCCCCTGCACACTGTCCTCAAACTCACCCCAGTGGCATATGGTAAGTCCCCTTGCTGTTTTCGAGTCAGCTGATCCTGACTTGCACGGTAACCATTTGTGGTATTGAGACGTCTTTTCTTTTCCCCCCGCCACTAGGTTGTAAAGTGGATATTTTTGACCTCAAGGTGGAGGCTGTCAACACCCACAGGGACAGACTATTAGTAAGCTTTTGATTATGTCTTATGAGGAATTGGGTGGCAGGTTTCTTCGTGAGTATGTGTCGCCTGAAAACGTCGAACATAAACTTCAGAATAAGACCATTTGATCCATCACTCCCATTTGGTTCTAAAGGTTAAAAAAAAGATACGGCTATTCATACTGGTGTGATCTAATACAGACACCGGCCCAGAATGCAAGACAATGTTCCTTAATGATGACTTGAGCCGAGGCTCTCAAAAGAAGCAAAAACATGTGAGGCTATGTTGTACCAATGGAGCACACGCCTAAATGCAAAGGTTGCAATACAATGTCAAGACGGTTACCGGTTAAGTTTCAACTGTCAAATGTATTTCTTTTTTTACTTTGCTGCACTGTATACCAGCTCACACCAGTCTACCTCTGCTACCTTTATGGCACATCACTAGCTCTTTTAGGAACAGCTCCATACTTGTGTCCTGGTTATAATTGTGTGTTATTTGCAGTGAGACGTTCAGCCTGGAGTCCTAGACAGAGTGAGTGCTCTACATGAACATATTGAGGGACATGTACAGAAAAAGACTTGTTGACAGGGGTGGGAGCAACCTGAACAATGGCTTTACGGCTTCCAGAGCACACAGTGTTTCGGACCTTGGGGAGATGGTGTCGGAACTTTAGTGGTTGTATCTCTCAATTTCTTTGGGATTTTGGCAGATTGTCGCCGCACAACCTGCCAAAGCTGCAGCTTGATGTTTTCTCTGCACAGCTCAATGTCATGATTTCCCTCACTTTTCAAAGCTCGCTGTCATCTTCCCTTTTTTTTTTTTTTTTTGCCTTAGCTGCAGAGAAAACATTCTCAAGGTGCTTTTCTTTTTTTGTTTGTCACTTTGGGAGGTGGTTAAGCAACTGACTTGTCAGCGCAGGGGTACAGGTTATTTCCCGAGCTAAATGTGTAAAAAAGTATGCAGACTTGTTTGACGTGGTGTGAAAACATGTTACCAAGGTCTCGTGGTCTCTTGTCTGCCATCGCCATGTAGAACAAAGAAAGGGGAGACGTTCCACCAGCTTTCTACCGGAGGAATAGCTTCACGCCACTGTCCAGCCACGACCAGATCAAACGACCTCGCCTCTACAGCGCCGACAACCAACCGCAGCCTCGCTTGTCCCAGACTCCCGTTTTACCCGGCATGCCGTTCTCTGAGGCATCGGAGGGCGTGGAGCTGCGAGAAAGAGAGGTCAGTGTTGAATTTGGGAAGAGGGTGAAACAAAAATGAATGAAATGGGTTTGTTTGTCACTGCCATCCAGACAGTGTTTCACCCTGACTGGTGAGCTCACATGTCAAAATTAGGACAAGTTGTGCCCATGTGTCTGTTTGGTGTTTTAATGTCAAAATTAGGACAAGTTGTGCCCATGTGTCTGGTGTTTTCATGCAATCTTCATCTTGCTCTCATTGCATCTTTGCAGGACTGCCTGAACGGCTTCAGTGCAGGAGACACAGACGACTGTGTTGGCAGTTGAAGAAAAGTTTCTTTCATTTAGTCTTGACCTTTGTACACTGCTGACCAAATGTTTGGCCCGGCTTTGCGCCACATGTAATTTTCGCTTGTACCACCACAAGTTGTTTGTTTGCCACATGCAACTTCAACAAAATCGCTGTACAGGTCTGCCATACAAACAGACTCCGTCCATTTGTTGTTTGCAAATAGGTAAGCTACCTAGAGCAGGGGTGTCCAAACTTTTTCGTTTCAGGCCCGTATACCTAATCATGGACAAGGGCAGCTTTAAAATTAATCAACTTTAATTTATTAAACACGCCAAAATCAGTCAAGCAAGCAATTTCTATGCTGTTCGTATTTTCTAGGTATTGTGAAAAAAAACCTGCTCCTTTAAAGGTGATAAGGCAAATAGTTTAGAGATTTTCAAAATTTTGTGATGGCCACGGGGCCCTGTGTCCCAGTAGACTAGTTACAGCACTGCACTGAACAGCAGCCGAAACCCATCTCCACATTCAGAACCAAAACGAGCAAACTGTGGTGCCATTGACCTTTTTTAAAACAGTTACTTGAGGATGACAAATGTGATATGTTCATAAATCGGACCTTGACATAGCAGAAAGTGAAACAAGTTTCACTTCTAAGATTGAATTATCTTTTTTTCACCAGTGTTTTGAAGAGAATTTTAAAATGATTTTAGTTCTCAATAGTTTGTGTATCTTTGCATATCTAGAGTATACATAAACAATAGTGGCACGTATTTTTTGAAAACCTCCTTTCTCTGGCCACCTCCATATTTTTATTTTATTTTTTTAAACGTGCCTTGCAAGCCGTGTCAAATGTCATTTTTATTTTATGGCACAAGCAGCTGAAAAGTGCCGTAGCTTGGACACCCCTGACCTATAGAGTGTCAAATGTGTAGTCAAACAATTGAGTGGAAACCTTTTCTTAATTAGCATTTCCTTTCGCTGTCATTATACTCTCTGCAAAATGTATTATTTTACTTTCGATTTAGTTTTAGCAATCAATACTGGAACAACCTTGATTTGACTTTATGGCACTCCAAAATTCAAGCAACTTGGCTTTGTTTGTTGTGGGAAAAAAAAAAAGATCAGATTTCAGGAACGTTGTCAAAGCAGACAGATGTGTTTGCATTTGCCGTCTTCTTTTTGTGGGTCACTGCAGTTGTTGAATGATATTCCTCGGCAGCGGCGTTTATGCTGGTCAGTGGAGAGTTGTTTTTTGTTCCCTGCTGGTCTGTATCTTTGTTGTCTCTAATGTCTGCCACTTGACGTTGTTCTAAAGAACTAACCCATTATAGGATGATGTAATATGATGGCCTCAATATCTCTCTCTCTCTCTCTCTCTCTCTCTCTCTCTCTCGAACCTTTCATGAAATGGAATCAGAAATAACACATTAATGGAATGGCAGCCATGAAAATCAATATGCTGATTTAAGGTAACAGCTATTTTATGAATGTCCTGTTGTTGTCTGAAATGTTCAGATTGTGGACCCTAAAATAAAGTGTATTACAAAGTAATGCAACTTCCAACATAAAAGGTATAAGGAAGCTAGTTTTTCAAGAGAAGGTGCACGCATTCAAATATGACTGTGTTGAAATTACATTTTTTTTAAGCCTGTAGGAACTAGAAATTCAATGGAGCAAATGGCGCTAGTACAGAGCCATCCATACTCTTTCTAATGCTGAGACAATCACTGTTCACTGAAATTTATATGTGCAGTACCAGTACGTCAAATTTAACTAAGGACACATTCATGCACGTTATTGTCACGAATAACCCAAACAACTGTGCCTTTGTATGAAACACTACAAGGAGCATTGTGAAGTACAATACTTAAAATGATCATGATGAAAGGATGACCAGTCACGATTTTAGACTTTTTTTTCCTTTCTTACATACCGCGCTTAGTTTCACATCACTTCTAAAGAATAATACATTCCGACACCCCGCAAACACGTGCGTATTTTACAGGCTGTCAATGATCAGTCTAATAGAATCAATAAGATATTTTAGGATGCACAGTGTCACTATAAAGGCATGCCCTTTGTGTGAACCATTTGCCTCAATTGCTGATGGTTTTCACTTATTAGAATCACATTTACGAATCGTCGCCAGTGTGAATTAATCGCAAACGCGTATTCACAGCCATTTGCTTGCTTGACTTGCATCGGATGAGGAGAGGCGATGACATGTGTCTGAGAACTTTATAATCTGCTTGTTGTTCTGACGCAGCGTTTTTGACCAGATTATATGGGCGCACAGTGCTCATCTAGTGTCATTCAACACTACTTTATAACCACATGCACTGCAACCTATCGGACGTCGATTTTGTGTTGGAGCTTAGTCGGACATTTTTCAGTGGCATGTGAGACAACAGTGAGGGGTTTGATGAAATCAAATTCACACATCCAGAACAATGGCCACCACACTCATAATCAAGCAGGAACAAATCAATGTAAAAAGCAATGTTTTGCTGAGCTATATTTACGATAATGCCAATGGCTTATATTTTGTGTGCTATCTCATAGTGGACTTCTGTCTCATGCACTCATTCGTTCACGAAGTAAGAACCAATCTAACCGATAAATTGTCAGAGGCGGCTGCCCCCATTTTGCATTCTGCGATCAATGACTTATTCAAACCATTTTTCAAATGCACAATGACAAAAAAAAAAATGCCTTAACTCTTGACAATTCGAAATGTTTTTGTCTTAGATCCGTTCTTGTTTGTATTATGAGTGTGAGTGTATGTAAGGTTGATATGTGTGCATTTTATTTTAGGAAACCATATGCAGTTCATGTAAAAAAATTAGTGAGTATCAAAGCATCTGAAGAATACTGCATCCACGTGAAAAAGGTAGAAAAATCACAAAACAAAAAGTTGCCCTGAGTGTTGCGGTTGTCATGGTCACCCTTGGGCACTTTGTAGCTCCGCCCCTGTTTGGATGGTACGCACACTCTTAAATATGCATGCATTTCAGGCAATTTATTTCCCGAATTTATTGTGTTCGAATTTAAATTAGAAAACATCCTCACCCTCATTCAAATGTCATTTCATGTCTGCAAAATACAATACAGTAAATACAATATGCTACTGATGCTCTATTGAGTACGTTGCCTTTATTTTATTGTAGCCTGGCCCAAGTTGGTGTGTGCGCGTGTGCCCACGCGCGTGAGTGGGAGGTATCGGGACGCCCCTCTATAAATACTGCCTTCATCCTCCCATTACTTGTTTTTCTCATTTTTACCTGAACGCATTTAACATGAGGTTCATCGTGTGGAACATTCTCTGTTTATCCATTTCATTACTTGACACGGGTAAGTTGGTTTTTCGTAGAATACGACAAAATTCTGATTTATGAAACAAGAGTGGATGACATTGCATCTTCAACTATAGCCGAAGTTCCGAAGCGATGCTCAGCGCCACCCCAGTTTCCGTCCACCAGACTCCAAAATAAATGGAGGACCAGAAACACGTTCGACATTGGGGAGAAAGTTTACTACAAGTGTGCCGAAGATTTCGTCGCATACGCGGGCAGCCTCTCGGTGATGTGCGTCAATGGAATCTGGACTGCGTTGACACTCAAATGCGAAAGTAAGAATATGACCGACCTGCCACAAGTGGCTGTCTGCTGTTCTGGTAAGGTTAATGTGCTGGAGGACAGTTGTAGTTTTTACATTTGGCCACGCGAGGGCGTCCTGAAGCCAAGTTAATGTTCCCTTTAAAGACGCCTACTTAGTATTTTCCTTGAAAAACGACCTGTTTTTTTTTCCTCATCACACTGACTAATGTACTCTGCCCGTTTGCGATAGAGAGATCATGTGGTAATGTTGGTGATCTACCTAATGGAAGGTTTCGCTATGAAGGACATCCACTCATTGGGGAGAGGGTCTACGCATTGTGCAATGACGGGTAAAGTGATCATAAGACATTTTTAAAGCTAATGAAAGTGCTCTAAAGGCGGAAAAAAAGACCATGATGGTGTGTGTTTCTTCTTGCTTTCAGGTACACACTAAAAGGACCGAAGTACATGACATGTGAGAGGGCTGGATGGACTGGTGAATTTCCCACATGTGAAAGTATACCCGAATACATTTTGTTTACTTGGCTTTAAGTTAAGTTTCTTTTTTTCTCCCCACAGTAACTCTTTTCAAGCCACTGTGGTAAAAACAAACTGACATAAAATAACACTGGTCAAGAGCAAAATTGAATCAGAGATGGCTTTAACATTTACCTAAACGTGTTTCTGACGCTGATTTAAAAAAATGACTTTTTTTTCCTCTAGCACATCAGTAAAGTACGATTTTTTTTTTCTTTTGAAGTTTGACCTACAATAGTTTGCGCAATGCGGATTTTACCATCCGTTGTAATTTATATCTATGTTGTTTAGGAAAAAAAAATCCAATTTTTGCGGAACATAACCCTTAATTCATAAATATTATTAAATATAATACTATTATTGTTCTTTTACTGTTGCTATAATTATTATGAAAACCTGCTGGAGAAATAACGAGGGCAGATTCAAAATCAGTGCAAAAACTACTGGTACAAAAAAAAGTCAAAAATTGTTGACCAGTGTAATCAAATGAGTTGCTGATGGTGCGGTGGTACACTCGCCTGATTTGCGAGAGGGCAGTGTGGGATCGGTTCCCACTCAGTGATTGTGTGAATGTGCGAGTGTATGGTTGTTTGTCTCGATATGTGCCCAGTGACTGACTGGCGACTAGTTCAGGCGTTTATCCGCCTTTTGCCCAAAGGCAGCTGGGATAGGCTCCAGCAACTCCTGCGACCCTCTTCAGGGTAAGTGGTGTTGAAAATGGGTGAATGGCTTGATGCAGGGGTGCCCATTACGTCGATTGCGATCGACCGGTAGATCGCGGACTGGTCCCAAGTCGATCGCAAGGGATGTAGAGGAGAAAAAAAACAACCAACCATTTGTGTGTCTTTGTGCATGTTAGTAATATATTTTTTGTGCTAATGTACACTATACCCTAAGCATCCTATCATTACTCTCATTCAGAGTTTGTTTCGTGTACAATTCACCGAGGGCACGGGCAAATAATGGGAATCTAGAGGGCCGAGGGAAGCACTTATAAACGGTACGTGTGAGCTACTGCATAAGTGCATCGCATGCCTCCATGTCAGGCTGTTGCTCATCATGGCGTGCGTGTGTATGTGTGTCAGCGTGCGCGGTAACGGGTCGATCGCAGGAAGTTGGTTGATCGAAAAGTCGATCTTCGGTCCAAAATGTTTGGGCACCCCTGGATTGATGTAATCAAATGGATGAATATCCAAAGTCTTTTTGGGTGACCACTGACAACGTATCTCACAATAATAGATCTGTCACTGTACTGAGCATCAGCAAAATAAGATCTTCACATTCAAAACCAAAATAAGAATAATCTGTACTAAACTGACCTTGACATGGCACAGAAAGTGGGACAAGCAATCTTGATTCATGTCATTTGCTGCTGTAATTTAATTATCTTGATCTATTGTGGCGACACAACGAGAGTTTGTTGATATTTTAGTGACGTGCACATTCCAAGAGCACAGAAATTGAAATGATAAACTATCGGTTTAGCAGGATAAAGATACAGATGTACTGATACAGTCAACACAAGCAAATGATTGGCCTTAGCACAGATGTCTGATGCATACATGTCCGGGGCAACTTGACCCAATTTAAAGATACATGATTTTGCTTTGTGCAGAGGTTGACACCACCTGCTCCACACCGGAAGTGGCCAACTCAGAGAGGATTAGTGGTGGTGATTCCATACACCGGGCAGGCGAAAAGTTGACCTTTACTTGCAGTCCAGGTTTCCTGTTAGATGGCCCTCAGCACGTCACTTGCAGTCCCTCAGGCCAGTGGGAGCCCAAAGTCCCCCAGTGTCTGACTTCAGCTGCTCATCAAGGTACAAATAAAATTCAATTTCTTTACCCTAGTGAGGATAAAGCGGTTCGGAAAATGAATGAATGAATGAATACAGTGATATCCCCCCTGGTGGTCGAAACTAAAGGTTGCAGGTAGGATTTGGGATTAGTCTCAAATAGAGCAGAAAGTAAATGGCTTGGACTGCATCTGTTCAAGTCTGTTTAAAAACAATAAAATACTTTATAGTACCACTTTTCTGTGATGTGAATCTTTTGATCTGCCTCAACTGCTCAATAATGTAATGAACTGAAAACGAAAATAGGGGGTTTCTCAGCATTTTTTGGAGATTAAAATATAGATTAATTAGATCAAGTAATTACAGATCATAATTAATTAATCTCACCATTTTTTCACTGTCTGATACACCTCAAAAGATTTCATTGTTGCTTTTAACTGTTTTATCCCTCCCTCCCCCTCAAAAAAATAAAATAAATAAAGCTAAATTTAGCCAACGCATCATTGCAAGCCTGGTAATTCAACCCAGTATTCTCACTCACTCTGTCTCAGTCAAATGGACTGTTAGCTGTGGTACCATCAGAGTTTCACAAGTATTTGTGATTTCACGGTGAAATATGCTCTAGTCTACACAAATGATTCTGTCTAAAGAATATTCTACTCTACAGGAGGCTGTAGTGCTCCGGAAAATTTGGACGAGTCTCATACCAACCTCGCTGATGAGTTCATCACTAGGACGACCTTTGCCGCTGGTGAGCGAGTCACATACACGTGTGATGTCGGCTACAGTCCAGTGGGTGGCAGCAGATATCGGAAGTGCATCAGTGGACAGTGGACGCCGCTTCTGCTCAAGTGTGAACGTGAGCTCAATTCTTTGTCTTCTTGAGTCTTTTATGCATTTACTTACCGCAAGTTTGACAACATATGTTAGATCGGTAGATGGGCAACATGAATAATCGTTTTAATTTAGATTCTGCCAGCATTTAGCTTCTCTATGAATCGTGTTTTTTACCGAGTATGAGATGACATTTTTCTTCCTTTCAAAAATACACTTTCATATTATTATGCACAAATCTTGAAACATCATAGAGGTTACAAAGAACTCAGGATTACATAGAGATAATTTTTACAAAATTTGACAAACAGTTTCCGCCAAAAACATCCTTTATTGAGTTTGTACCCAAACAGAATGGTTATTTCTTGAGCACAAGCTACTGCTGGACAAAGAATGTACACAAGTGACTTCAGTGACCTTGGCCACCCACATTCCATTAAAATTGCAATGAATGATGCTTTGAATTTTGAATATGAACTATGACCAACTGACAATGTCAGTGGTAGGGCTTACGTTTGGAATCTGGGCCTTCAGTAAGCACTTACTGGACTTCATCCACCTAAAACCACCACAATATAACCCAAACCAGTACTATATAATAATGTAATGTAACAGAACATACCTGTGCCTTGGACATCATCTGATACAGGTCAGAATCATTATTTATCTATCTGGTTGTTTCATGTGACGTTGACGCAAAATGGCCGACCTCTGTCTGAGTTGAAGAAAACCAGGCAGATTTTTCTGCTTAAATTATATTCCACAAACACAATATGAAGTATTTCATTGTCAGTCATTAAAAAAATGAGATGTTTTAAAACTACGTAAACAGAGAAACTACTAAATGAAAGGTTAGACTTCTTTCTTCTGTCTCACAAAATATTTTTTAAACTTTTTCCATTTTTTTCAAAAATCAACAGTAAAACATTTGGAACAAAAAATGCACCAAATATCATATCTTTTTGTGGGAAGATATCAGATATTTTGGGGCGAATCAGTGACTTTAAGGCAAACTTTTGCTTTAGTGGCGGCTCAAACATCTGAACGGTCCTTTTTTCCTATAAAATAGCACCAAAAACAATGAAAATGTGCTTTTGATGGCAACATAATGGATTTACAATGAATGACCAGTGTCACAATTTTATACTTGACAAACTTTAGCAACTATTTGAGCAATATTTGGTAGTAGCACTATCTAGTGATGTGTGCGTACATCGTGCCACGTGTGTGTGTGTGTGTGTGTGTGTGTGTGTGTGTGTGTGTGTGTAAATGTGTGCACATAAATCACATCATCTCTTCTACTTCTAAATTGAAATAATTCCCATCATCTTTTATCTCTTTTGTTCCACTCTGCAGTAGATTCAACGTGAGAAAGACTTTGATCAGTCCCGAACTGCTTGTGACTGCCACATTTCCAAGGGCTCGCCCAATTTCACAAGCTTACGCATTGTTGTGACACACGGCGAGCTCATCCAAAAGAGATAAAATATTGCTATCTTCTGGCCGTAGTCATTTTATTTATTGTTTTTAAGTTTCTCAGCTAAATGATGATCAAATCAGAGTTGGCCAAGACCTTTCATGGCCCATTCCCATTTAAAAAAAAAAACATAACAAAACAAAAAACACATAAGTTGACAGCAAATGACGCTGACAGAGCTTCTCGTTATGATTCCAATTGACAGCATTTCACGTCACTGGTACGCAAAGAGTTCATCATAATACAGTACTGTGTTTAGACTAGTGGGGATGCATATGTTCATATGTATAATTCATTCATTCATCTTCCGAACCGCTCGATCCTCACTAGGGTCGCGGGGGGTGCTGGAGCCCATCCCAGCTGTCTTCGGGCAGTAGGCGGGGGACCCCCTGAATCGGTTGCCAGCCAATCGCAGGGCACACAGAGACGAACAACCATCCACGCACACATTCACACTTAGGGACAATCCAGAGTGTTCAATCAGCCTACCATGCATGTTTTTGGAATGTGGGAGGAAACCGGAGTACCCGGAGAAAACCCACGCAGGCCCGGGGAGAACATGCAAACTCCACACAGGGAGGCCGGAGCTGGAATTGAACCCGGTACCTCTGCACTGTGAAGCCAACGTGCTAACCACTGGACTACCGGGCCGCCCCATATGTATCATATGTTCATAATATCATAAAGACCATTATTGACTTGACTTCCCCATTAAAGCCACCCAAACATTTTTTTTTTCTCTTTCCGTTCTGTAAAAGGGAAATTGTGTGGCTCGGCTGGGGAGATTCGAAATGGACGCTTCATTTATACCGGAGTCGAGTTTGGCGACATCGCCACAGCTCACTGTGATGATGGGTGAGACAATCAAATAATTTGTGTGCTTCACATGCATCCCTCTTTATTAGTGCTGGAACGGTTGTGAGTGTTCACCCTGTCACCAGGTTTCAGCTTGTAGGACGACCAACCAGGAATTGCATGAGTTTTGGCTGGGATGGTCATGCTCCCTTTTGTGAAGGTGCAGCCTGGAAATTTGTTGGACTTTGTACCTTCCCATGGTGCACGCTACATTTTTTTGTCCGTTGCAGTCGTGGAGTGTGAAGAGCCTCCAGAGGTAGCCAATGCAGAGCAAAACGGCAAAGAGGAAGCACCCTACAAGTACAGGAGTGTGGTAGTGTATGAATGTCGCACGGGGAACCTTGTGGGGAACAAGGCGATATGGTGCACAGAGAACGGCACGTGGAGCACACCGCCTTCGTGCAGAGGTCACACAAAAAGTCACACGGTCATCTTTAAACAAATTTATTTACAATTTGCCATGAATAAAAGTTGGAGTTTCTCCACAGAAATCACCTGTCCATCTCCAAAAGTGCCCAACGCCTCCTGGACGCGAGCTCACATCAGACTTTATCAACACCGGGACACGATCAGCATCGACTGTCGCCATGGTTACACGGTGGTCGGCGCGAGCACCGTCACCTGTGGTGACAATGGTCAGTGGGTTCCCATCCTTCCCAAGTGTCGACGCACATGTAAGTCAACACCTCTGGTAGAAATCTATCAGATGATTGTTATCGTAATTACTTTTATGAACAAATTCATATCTTGTTTTTGTTTATTTTTTTTAGCACGGCACACTAAATGGCAGAGTCGGTATGCTGTCTGATGTGTCTTGCTACATTTGTCAGTCCAGGACCGGCATAATAAGAGCAAACAGAGGATGGAAAAATTCCCTTTGGACCTTAATATTTCTTTGCCTTACACACATTCGACATGTTTTTAAAATGAAGCTGACATACATGGTGTTTATTTCAATAAAGTGTTTTTGGGCAAGAATGAGTACAAACTTATTGCGTTCACCTCTATACATTGTTTTTTTTTCGTTTTTTGTTTTTTTGTCCTTTACTGTCAATAATGTCATGTGTATCATCATCTATAGGCTAAACTGCTAGTGAGCGTTCATGAACAAACAAGTTACAAGAAAATAAAGAACACCAATTCCATTCATTTAAAAAGACAATACAAAATCCAGACATTTACATGAGCATTGACAATTCAAGTGCAAATATCAAACTCTATGATACATCATAGCAAACTCTCTTTTAAAAGGCAACAATCTCAACCAAAAAGAAAAAAAAGGAGAAAGGAAAAATCAATCAGGTTTCAGGAAAGAAGCTGATTCCGGTAGGAGGGGAGTTTTTGCCCATGAGGGGATACGGGCCATGCCTTGATGATAGTTATATTGTAAGTTTGACAATTAGCAACGTATGTCCCTCCATGATGAAAATCTGCATGTTAGGGTATTACCAATAGCATTGTGGGCTACGTGAACACACACACAAAAAAAAAGAAATATGTTTGTTCAATTTCTTGGGTGCCTCCCAGCCAAATGAATCCCCTGTAAATAACATTGGGTTTTTAAACTAGTCTAGCTGCTTCCCATTTCCAGTCTTCATGACAAACGCGCCAAAAGCAAACCATGGCGGCCACGTGGCTTAGAGACAGATGCAGTTTTGATCTTATTGTCGCACTCTCAAAATTGCTTATCAGCTATCATGAGAATGCTCTTTGATTTTAAAGTTAAATTATTATACCCTGTTGCTGTCACTGTTCTGAGATCACAAAGAACCTTTTCTATTTATTTATTTATTTATTTATTTTCAAACTGCTGTAAGTTTCAAGACATCTTTGACTCCCTCTGCAGAAGAGCAGATTACACACTTAAGTTCTGCTCATAACATGTCATACAAAGGGTCAGCAGTGCTGCTTTCCAAAAGATCAGTTTGGGTCACTATAACCAAATTGAGTGTGTGTTATTTTCATTCATTGCACGTGTATTATTACAAAGGTAGAAGGATGGGCTCACGATCTAGTGCACAAAACAATGTGACCCGCCCGCCCTTGTGGGGCCTCTTTGCAAGAGCTGTCTGCACTGGGACAGATCAAACAAGAGCTGGGGAGATGGCTGTCTTTGGATTTGATATGGGCACGGCAGTTTAGGGGAGGAGTGGTGCAGGTGTAATTCTAGGAGTCGGCCTCATGGAATCCAACCCTTGTCTTGCTAATGTTCGGTATTTACAAGTCAAAAACACCACAGACCTGCTCCACAGGCAGGTGACGGGATTATCAACCTGCTGTCAGCTAACAAGTGAAGAACGTGAAATTCTTTGCTTGCTTTTCAACTTCGAACCTTGACACTATTCAGGAGTAGAGTACATGAGAAAGACAAGATGAGATTGAAAAATTAAAGTGACCTTTTACAAGAAGCAGCAAACATCATGTCCCTCAAAGACATTCAACTCTCAATCCCTCTCCCAGACACATTCCACATCATCTCTTTCCTGTGGCTCTCCTACTTAGTTTCTTATTCGTCTTCCAAAAATGTCCTCTGTGTTCCTGGATTGATTAACCACCTTTTTTTTTTGTATTTGCTTTAAAGTTGCCTTGGAGGAAAAAAATAGAGGAGAAAAAGAGCAACAGAAATGCTGGGCATGTTGGAAAAGGCTGGTGCAGTCTAGACAGCACAGATGAACTGTTTTAACAGTAAAACTGCTCTAAGAGCTCAAACATAGTAAGGCTTTAAATGAGCTGGAACGCAGCTGCGACATGAATTAGTTTGCAACTGCTCCTCCTCGAGGAGGCACACACAAGCACACATCCTCACCAGCGCACGCACCGCACGCACGCACACGCACGCACGCACGCACGCACGCACGCACGCACGCACGCACACACACACACACACACACACACACACACACACACACACACACACGATGGAACCAAGGTTATACAACACTTGCACAACACTTACAGGCATACTTAACGGTCGCAGTCGGCGCTGGAATACAGACCAGTCATTTAAGCAAATACAACACCAAGCTCTAACACATCATCACTTCTACTGTCTCAAATAGCCGTTTCTATCCGTTTGAAAGGTCTCAATGCACGACACAATGGAACCCAAACCCACTCACATATTCTACATCCCCACTAAATGCGTATGCTCTGGACTGTGGACGTGCGAGGGAAAATTGACAAACAACACAAATATTCAGCATTTTGCACATTTGTCAAGGGAAATCAAAAGATGGTTACAAAAAAGGATGTATTATGTGTGTCAAAGTCCTTTATGAGTTGCGGGATGTAGCCTGTAAGAGTGACGGGGGTGGGGTGGGTGTGGGGGGGGGGGCGTTTAGTGAATTGCAGATGATGCAGGTTTACTTGTATGGTCGCAGGAAAGCAGAGACTTTGCTGCTTATGAGACGTATGAAGGATCGGGGAAGCATCTCATTGGACTCCCGAGTGGTGTACTTGAAGTAGTTGTTTGGGTGAGCCAGCACGTCAAAAAGAGTCTTTATCAGTTTTTTATCCTGCAAAATAAAGAAGAGACGTTAGTGCATTTGTAAACTGCGGAATCTCAAGTTACGAACTTACTTGATTTTTTTGAGCTCATGTGTAACCTGAAATGTTCATTAATCGAGGTAGTGTTTCCCATTAAAATGAATGGAAATGCAATTAATCTGTTCCACACCCAAAATTAAGTTAACTTTTTAAAAATTTACCAGTATTTACTAATGTGAATAAAGACTAAAGTGTTGCAGCAAAGTGTTGTCCCAGCCCATTAGTCACAAAGTAGTAGAAGAGGAATTCTATTGTTCGAAAGGGGTTTAAATAGGGTCAAGTTCTTTTTTCAGAGTTAAGGCCAAAGTTAATGTAGCCTCAATGCTTCACAGGAATTCCAGTCATTGATCAATGTTCTCCAGCGTAGAGTAATAATGGCTACCAGGGCTAACCTTAAGGATTTCTTGATGGTTCTCTGAAGCGTAAAGTCTTCCATCCCGTACGATGTCCTCAACCAGCTGTTCATAGTCCTCTGAAGTTACACAGACAACACCATTACTCTTGGTCACCTCATGAAATGCCGAGGAGCGCTGTGAACCATTTGAAGACCATACCATCATAAGTCACGTAGGGAATCTGAAAGCCCCTGGCACTATTGGCCTCATTGGACTTGAAATTAATCCAGAGGCGCCTGGAGCGTGCCGTGAAGGCGATGGGCCGCTCATACGTCTGACATGTCTCATAGGTGGTGATGGATGTAGCTGACCCTTGCAAGAGCACAGAAAGGGCAATGATGAATCAAGTTTATGGATGCGGTGGTGTCACGGGCGTGGGTATACTCACAGTTCTTCCTCATCACCAGCACATCTCCGCACTCGTCCTCCGAGGGCAGGAAGATCTCGGGCACCACAATAAGGATCTTGCGCTTGCTGGGCGGGTTGATGTTCCAAATGCACTCCACGTTGGCTGGGTAATTACCGGGGTAGTTAGGGGACTCGATGTAGCCCATAAACTCGCCCATCTCGCCGCCACACTGCCTGTCTAGACATGCACGAACTCAACGCATTACATTCTGACTCCAAAGCGGAAGCCTCAAAGTGTCTTTTGTGTACTCACTCTTGCACTGCGACACACTGGTGGCACCATCAAAATCTGTGGTGGTGTTTCCAGGGCAGGAAATACAGTAGTTCTGCCGAAACTCAGTCTGATAGGTTCCGACTGGGCAGCGGATACACCTGTGCACTGTGGTGTTGTAGTAGTGGCCCGGAGAACACTGCACTGCAGCACCAATGAAGACACACATGAAATCAGCCAAGCTAAGTGTATTTTTTTGGGGGGTTTTTTGGATGGCTTTTATGCAAGCTCATCTCACCTTTGACCTCACAATCATGAAAGGAGCTTGCACCCTCACGCTTGGTGCTCAGTCCTCCCCCGCAAGGAAAGCACAAAGTCCGACCCAAATCTGGCTGGTATGTGCCCTGGGGACACGGCTGGCAAGGCTTGAAGCCGTCGCCTGAGAAGAACCCGGTGGGACATTGGCCTGTGGAGCGCAGACCACCACATCACGTTTGGCAGGAGAAATGTTTGACTGGCACAGAATCTGGAAGTTGGACTTTTGCTACCTGCACACGATGAAATATTTCGGGCTCCCACAGGACCGTGGCCGTCGCTGCCCGGACACAGGTCGCATGCCAGCTGCCCCTCCCTCTCCTGGAAGGTGCCAGGCGGACACTGGACGCAACGCTCCTGCTCACCGTGATAGTATGAGCCTGGCAAGCACCTGACTGAAAAACAAAATCAACAACAGTGCTTTACAAAGTTTCATTTGCTCATCAGTAGTTTGAACAATCAAAAAATAACCACATATTCTGATTTTTTTCCAGTACAAAGGGCTCCCATGCACAAAAAAATGACCATTCAAGGATGGCAGAAATCAAAACTACATAGTAGACCCACCCCACTATTTGTGGGTATGGGGACTGGGCTGGCTCGCGAACAGGGACAATCTACGTATACCAAAACTGACTGACTGCCATTGAAATTATAATTATCATTATTATTTTTTTGTAAACCCCTAAGAGTCTCAAAACAACCTTCATAAATAGACGGGTCGGATGGATGGATTATATACGAACACCCTTCTAGTCAGCAACATGTTTGAAAGTTGTTTATTTGATGAACTGGGCCTTTGAGCAAATACATTAAACTGATCACAATTTGATTTAAATTGCTATATTGATACAAAAAACTTTCTCTCGTTCAGTGATCAAAGTCAAAGTAAGTGAAGGAGACGCGTAAATAATAATGAAGTCTTACCGCATCGGCCACTGTCCTTTTCAGAGCCTGGGCCGCAGTTCTCTTGAATGGGAGCAGCCTGTGGAAGTTTCTGGGCCACCTCGTACTCCAAACCAGCGACTCTGATCAGGAATCGCTCTTGGTTGATGGACTTCTTCAGGGCCTTGATGTAGGTCTTGACTTGCTTCTCCATACGTTGTCTGAGGCAGCTGAGATTACAACTTCCTGGCAAGGTTTGAGAGAATACATCCAAGCAGCGACATCTATGAAGACATTATACTGGCCGCTTCCCATTGCGGTGACGCCACAAGACTGACCTGTTGTGTCGCCAGCTTTGACCTCTGCTTCCAGCTCCAAAGTTATGCGTGTTACCTCTTTGTTAGCTGGGTTTCGCGCACGCCGCCCTTTCGCTTTCTTTGACGAGTCACATTTGAGATTGACAAATGTCACCAAGCAGTTACTGCAGGGCTGACCACCTCCTGTGGAAAAAGTCAGTCAGCCATTGTACAGCTGAGAAATTTACAATCAGCATATTATTATTCCGTTTATGATTTTACAGCACTTTAAAGATAATTGTGTAATGCTTAAACAGGTACAGCAAGTACTCACACTTATTTGACCCCCCGGTGTAATGGTATCGCTTCCCAAATTCCCAATGCATCTTGATGGTAATGGAAAAATGAAGCTTCGTGAAGCATTTGTTTTTTTTTTTTTTTTTTTAACTCCTTCAGATGGTGCTCTTGGTTTAAAGATAAAGGCTGGTGCAATGAAAAATAAATACATTTCCATTGCATCCCTAAACCAAGAGTGCAATCTAGAGGAGTCAAAAATGATCACAAGTGCTTCATCAAGCTTCACTTGTCAATCACGACATGTTGGCATGTATGTGCTATGATAAACTGTGGATTTAGCTCAGCAATGCAATTTCTCAACATTTGTGCAAAATGTCTCAGAAATGTCCAACTCCAGTTGATGCTAAATGCTAAATGTATTTGAATCCAACACCAAAGCCAGATAAGGGCAGACCTGGTCCTAGGGTCCGCCCCCTGTCTTCTGTCCTGCCAGTCAGTTTAGGGTGCAGGTGACATTTGGCATTTTTTATCTTGAAAGATGCTGTCTGCTTCACTGGAGGCGCCAAAGTTTCTACAAAAGGAGCAAATGCAGCTAGGATGCAAGCAGCTATCATAGTAAACACCCTGAACAAAGGCAAAGGATTTGGCGGGTGCCACCTATGCAGCTATGACTGCTGCTGGAGTTGAGCCGGATGGGGGCCTTCCCTCTGACGATGGGGATGCCGCAACTCACCGAGTAGCTGCTGTCAGACTCTTCGAGAAGACAAAGACAAAAGTAAAACTAAGATTAAAAAAAAAAAGGGTTTACAGGTACACAAGTGATTGTCAAATACAATCAAACATATGAGAAGCTTGCAGCAATGCAAACACACACACACACACACACACACACACACACACACACACACACACACACACACACACACACACACACACACACTAATAGAAAGACCCAAGTCTGCAGACTGCAGAGTCCCGCTGAGTTTGTATTCCATTCGTATTTCTTTCATCTAATCAGGAACCTAAACCATTCAGTGATTTACAGACCAGAATTTAAATACCTATTCTACAGCTGATTGGGAGCCAGTGAACAAGTACAATATATTTGCATTTGTGTTGAATCTTTGAGAATGGTTCCTTTTTAAACATCTATTGAATGCAATTTTTATTTCTATTTGTACAATACATTTTAATAGAATCACTAGTTGTATTGATCACTTTGCTTGATTTTCCTATATTTAAGTGCAGTGTTGATGTTTAAAGCCTACGTTTTATGACAGTGGTTTATTATATTCAATAGATTTTTTTCGGAATAAAACCTCTAGACCTACTAGTCTACTCCTACTACTAATGCTACTGCATGAGGTATTTGGGGGGGGGGGGGGTACTTAGTATGAAAAGTCCAAAAATCACTTGTGTAGTGTTTTGCAGAGAACATACCAGCCAGATAGTGTGCTTTGGAGGCACAGGTGAGTGAACAGCTCTCTTTCTTGCCTGTTTTGCTACAGGTGAGAGTAGCCTTCGGGGCGACAAGGCCTGGAGGACATTTCACCAACTCTGAGGAGAGACACAAGACAGAGCTATAAAAATCAAACAACGCTGGAAAATAAGCTAAGGTTGAGTTTGCAGAGCTGGGAACACAATTTTCTCTTTACCGCTAGAGGGCAGTGCTGCTACGTACCGATACAGTCCTTCCTGTTCCAGTGCAACTTGTATCCAGGTGGGCAGGTACACTCGTAGCTCCCCAGGGTGTTAATGCATCCATATTTGCATCCTCCCCGGTTTATACTGCATTCATCAATATCTGAAAATACAGGATACATTGATTGGATATACATAAGGGACAACGGCTTTGCATCTCACCGGGGAGTGGGGGACAAATAGCACTTCACCAACGCTAGGGATGAGTCAGTTTGATTGATTACTTTGGGTTTTTTTGCTCATGACGATTTTATTTTTGAATGGATTATTTTTAGTGGCTTCTGGAGTTCAAACAAGCTCTTACTTGTTCGAACAAAATGGCTGCTGACAGCGAGGAGCAAGTTCATAAAAAAAAAAAAAAAAAAACCAAAAAAAAACTAAATCAGGGACTTTTCCAACCTCTTCAGCTGTTTGTAGCCGTCTGGTTTTCTTTTTAAGTTTATGAACAGCCAACGAGCGGAATCACACGGTCACACTGGTTTCCAGGTGAAAGGCAATCACCTCGTCAATCATGTGAACATTTTCAAAGGCATGCTATAACTTGCATTTACTGTCCCTTGCAAACACATTTATAATTTTATGGATTATATTGCAAAGTTTTGACCCGAGGCAGAGGCTTCCAAACCATAAATGTGTACAGTTAATATTTTGCCAAAGTCTTCTTAGCTCACCTGCACAACTCTACTTGAGGAAAAAAAAGATGAAAGGGGCGGTGTTACTCTAAAGATTACATTTGTACCAGCTAGCTGAGCTGTGAAATTTAAAATATAATTTTACGATGTTCAATTGTTGTACATACTAAAGATGAACGTATAAATTATAAATAATCAATAAATAATTACTTTTTTGGGGGGGTAAAGAAAAAAATATTTATTTCAAATATTTCTGTGGAAGTTGGGGCAAGTTATTGCTGGGAGAGAAAAAAAAACAGTTTCAAAGCTTGATTGGTTTTGGAGAAATAAAGCAAATAACAGCAGAAGAGGGAGATTTTATTTTAAGGCCATATCATTGTTAATACATCGCTCATTTCATATGTCCATTTCACATGAGGGGAAGATCAATGTGAAGCTATGTGTAGACAGTGCAGTGGTTCTTTTCACTTCGACAGTTTTGTAGCTGGCACGGGGTCAATTCACAAAAGAAAAAAAAAAAACACAATTGGGCACTTGAACTTGCAGGGTAAATCCAGCCGTAGTGTGTCGCACTATCACTCCAGGCCCTGCCTTGACCCTGAAAATGATGAGCACGGTATACAAAATGGATGATGGAGGGATGGAATGTGCGCAGTTGCAGTCCACACAGTCCACTTTCAATTTGATGGCCAAGACATCGCAAGACTGAAACACTAAAAATGGTAAAGAGGGAATAGATGGAAGTGTCTGTAACATGAGAACTGATACCAAATTAATAATTCCAGTACCTCCGAGGACAGTTTACAGGTCGACAGAAAGAAGAAGAAAAAAAGAGTTCAAGTTACTGATAATGTCAGTGATTGATGATGCTGACTGTTGATATGAAACGGCCATCCCTGTCTCGTTCAATCATTCACCGCAAGTAAAAACAAAAACCAAAAAAATGTCTATGTGCCTCTTCATTCCCCGAAGAGGATGATGACTTCATAAAAGATGAAAGGGGCGGTGTTACTCTAAAGATTACATTTGTACCAGCTAGCTGAGCTGTGAAATTTAAAATATAATTTTACGATGTTCAATTGTTGTACATACTAAAGATGAACGTATAAATTATAAATAATCAATAAATAATTACTTTTTTGGGGGGGTAAAGAAAAAAATATTTATTTCAAATATTTCTGTGGAAGTTGGGGCAAGTTATTGCTGGGAGAGAAAAAAAAACAGTTTCAAAGCTTGATTGGTTTTGGAGAAATAAAGCAAATAACAGCAGAAGAGGGAGATTTTATTTTAAGGCCATATCATTGTTAATACATCGCTCATTTCATATGTCCATTTCACATGAGGGGAAGATCAATGTGAAGCTATGTGTAGACAGTGCAGTGGTTCTTTTCACTTCGACAGTTTTGTAGCTGGCACGGGGTCAATTCACAAAAGAAAAAAAAAAAACCACAATTGGGCACTTGAACTTGCAGGGTAAATCCAGCCGTAGTGTGTCGCACTATCACTCCAGGCCCTGCCTTGACCCTGAAAATGATGAGCACGGTATACAAAATGGATGATGGAGGGATGGAATGTGCGCAGTTGCAGTCCACACAGTCCACTTTCAATTTGATGGCCAAGACATCGCAAGACTGAAACACTAAAAATGGTAAAGAGGGAATAGATGGAAGTGTCTGTAACATGAGAACTGATACCAAATTAATAATTCCAGTACCTCCGAGGACAGTTTACAGGTCGACAGAAAGAAGAAGAAAAAAAGAGTTCAAGTTACTGATAATGTCAGTGATTGATGATGCTGACTGTTGATATGAAACGGCCATCCCTGTCTCGTTCAATCATTCACCGCAAGTAAAAACAAAAACCAAAAAAATGTCTATGTGCCTCTTCATTCCCCGAAGAGGATGATGACTTCATCAAGTGAGCCTGCCAACGTGTCGCCCAGAGCGACTTGGAAACATGGCGAGAGATGTGTTGCTTACCCTCCGCATCAAAGCACTCGATTTTAAGGACGAAGAGTTCTAATGAATATCTGATGGCAGCCCCGCTCATCTGGCAGAAACTGTTGTTTTGACTTCTTTTATTTTCTTCCATACTTGAAATACAATCAAATGTATCTCTGCTGACCTTTCTGCAAATCCCTTTAGGCCTTTTTCCTTTTCACGCACACAGACCAGTCAAGAGGGATGAAGACAGAAGATCAATTGAAATTTGGAACCTATGCCTCGACCATGGAGAGTGGCTGACTTCATGGAATTGTTTGGTCAACTTTAGGGAATATTACAATGTGTTGCTCTCATTGTTGAAGTGATGAAACAGGGACTATTGTTGCTAAAGACTTTTTTGATATGGTTTTCAAATAAATATAAATAAACGCACAGACACCCCAGGAATGTATTTGTGCCGAGGCTAAAGCTGCGCTCCATGAAACTGGGAAGATTTTGAAACACACTTTGTGGAGGTCTGAAGTCACAACAGCACTGAGTGTATTTTCTTAGCAGATAAGCAAAAAGCAAGCAGAGTGTTTGGCTAGGTGAAGAGGAGAATGGCTAGATGAACTCTCACTTGGGAAAGAATGCCGACAGGTCTCAGCACAATACTTGACAGCAGGTCGCCGACCCGACTGGGTTTGTTGAGTGCGAGCCGATTAATAAACACAGAGCCTGGCTTGCGCCGATATTTTGGGGTTGATGAAACACAGCGGGAGCAAGCTAAGCTTAGTTATGAGCGGCGAGTGACGGCGTGTGATGGAGCTCAATAAATCTCCGGGGGTCATCTAATAGTTCCGACAGCGGCGATGAAAAGCCTGGCAAAGCCATTCATCACCGGTGCTGTAAACAATGGTAGCACGTCGTCGATGTCGGTCCGGTCCATCATGAGAGAAAAAGGCCTACCAATCCAATGCCGGTGCTTTTAGTCCCTCAATAGACAGACATTTTGCAGTGTGAGCCATCACTTTTACATTTTACACAGAGTCAATGGCACCTTCCCATGTGTCACAGTCACCTCCTGGTACAGACTGAAGCTTATTCTAATATTTCAGCATTTTATATTTTGGCATAAATGCTTGAAATGCGCAAAACTTATATGAGGTCATATAGATAACAGTGAATAAAGAAAATGTTGCATAATTTTTAGCGAAGAGCAACAATGTTCCCATGCTATCTCAGGAATTTAGTAGGCGGGCCTCAAACGTTATGTACTATAATAATAAGAGGAGAAAGGACTAAGCTCGGAAGTGTCGAAATGATGATGGTTAACATTTACCATTTGTGTATTTGCCATGTTGGTGGAGTGTTCTTGTTAGTGCGTTCTAGTGAGGCTTTGTACATGCACTTAGAGCTCAAGTTAAGTGACACTTATGTTGCTGGATATTCAACAGTAGTATAGACCGTGGATCCGCAGTGTCGCCCTTGTACATAGATACACATTCCTTCTCTCTCTCTCTCTCTCTCTCTCTCTCTCTCTCTCTCTCTCTCTCACACACACTCTTTCTCTCTCTCACACACTCTCCCTCTCTCTTTGTCCCTCTCTTTCCCACAAAATATTTTCACCGTTATTTTTATGCTTTTTTTTTTTTTTTTTATTCATTAGGTTTTTAATTTAGATACCTCCAACACTCTACAGAGTAACAACAACAGCTGCTTCTGAACCAATACAAACTGTGCATCTATGCCCATTTTTGTACAGAAGAGCAGGGGTGTCAAATTCATTTCAGTCGCGGGGCAATTTGGAGTTACGTCTTCCCTTGGAGGGCCGTTATGACAGTGAAAACAAAAAATTATGAATTGTACACAACAAATTAATACATTACTAGCTTTGAAATGAGTCAAGTCAATCATAATAGTTTGTTCAATTATTGTTCAAATGAGTGTAAACTGGGTAACAAAATTATTGTGAAATCTCAACGTTATTTACGAAACATGACGATTTCACATTTCGGTACAGATTTTAGCAAGTTGACACACATGATTTACTTTTGCGAGCCACACAAAATGACCTGGCGGGCCTGATCTGGCCCCCGGGCCTCGAGTTTGACTCCTGTGCACTAGAGGAAACACACTAGGATCAGAAATTAGCAAAGTTGGAAAAAAAACAAAACAAAAAACAAAACAATGGAAAAGATGAGAAAAGCCCCAAAATCTGCCGACCTATTTGAAATTCACTTCCAGAACAATTTGTCAGAATTTCCAGATTTGTAACATTATGTCAAGAATATTATGTGGGCCAGTTATTGGAGTCCATTATGTAATCGGAGAAAAATAACTCACTATGTTTACTGCTCAATTGCAAAAGATAATAATTATTGGGTGAGTTATATTTTAGATTGCTTTGTATTGTATTTGTTATGTTACACATTTATAGTATCTTGAATTCTTATATTACAAGGGATGCTTGGGGGGTGGGGGGTACCATATACAAGGGGTCAGTGACTGTTTGCCTTGGGCAAATGACTAGTTGGCCCTGGGCTGAGCCAGCGATGATGTCATCAGCAGCCTGACAGAGCCAACGTTTGATTCGCGGCTCGTGCACTGCTGAACAATGCAGCTCATAGCTGCGAGAACTCACGTGAATTTGCAGTCGACACTTGATACGTCACGTACGTCAGGGTAATGCAGATGCAAAAAAATAAGAATAATAATCTGCGCCATGCGGGGCTCCCCCAGCTTCCGAGCTCGTCTTACCCAATTGATTACAAGGGACTCGGGCCGAGCTCCTCCCATCCCTGCGGCATGGGGAAGTCCAAGAACTCTTCCCTCAGAACATTTACACCTCCCAACTTACTCTCCGGGCTAACTGGTCTCCAGTAGTGTGTTGTCACAGGTCACGCTCCACCTTGAAGTGAAGTAGCCAAAGACTTTTTTTGCAAACATGTTTTTGTCAATTAACTACAGCACAAATCACCTTTGCTTTACATTGCTGCCAAGTGTAGCGTAAGATTAAGATTGATTTCCTGCCTTCCGGGCAGCCACCTGTTTGTGCTCCTTTTAGTCTATTCGGAAATCAACTTGCAGAGACTTAAACCCGCTTGAACTGGGCAATCCATCACGGCCAGCATTTAGTTACGTTTTGTCTTTCGATGCGGTTGCATGCAAGTACTTTTTTTATGTTGACATTCTCCATGTGGTGACATTCAGATTAATGAGTTGGACGGCGTAAAGCCTTCACACCCTGAAACCATGGAAATAAACAAAGTTGATTTGTCAGTTTGCTGCTATTAAGACTTGAGAGCATCTTAGATGAATCTAATTACGAAAGGTACTTTTTTTTCCCTTTCAAAAGAACACTTAAGAATCTCTTCAAGGGCAAGCAGAGCATTTGGCATACATTCACCTTTTTGGGAGCTTGCATGGCACATGGATTTTAATTAAAGCAGAAAGCTTCAACATGACAACACCTTTTTATGAACATGAATAAATCAGTCTGCTTGGGGTGCGTACTTCCTGTTCAACATGAGAGAAACTCATTGAGGCTTTGAAGATACGTAGGGTTATGGACAGCAGATTTACACATGTAGGAAAAAAAAAAGTGCCACCGTCTCACCTCCACAGTGCGCCAGGCCATAGAGGACGTAGCCCTTGTGACAAAGGCACTGGAAACTTCCTGCAGAGTTGACACAGAAATGGTCGCAGGCGCGGTCAAAGGAGCACTCGTCGATGTCTGCACAAGATGGAGAGAGACAGTTAGGAATGTTACCATCACTCAGAAACCACAAAGGGCAGGAGTCAGTCCAATTTCCTCTCGCTGTATTGTTTATCATGCATTTCAATGGGCCACATCGAAATAACAACAACAAAGCTTTGGACCTTTGCTCCCACGTCTGTTGCTGTAATTGCCCTCCTGCAGTCACGATGTTTTCCATTTTGATGCGGCAAAATGGAATTTTCAAAATATACTTTTGGAAATGGCGAGGAGCAGCAGCAGGAGTCAGGTGATAATAGGTGCCCAAGAGCATTTTCTTTCTTCTCTCTGAGAGCCTATCAACCCCCCACCCGCCTCCTGCCCCACAATCTAAAATACACAATAAAGGCCCAGAGATTTCTCTGCACCCTCCTATGTCAAGATGTCACGTCAGAGTGACAGTTGCTCAAAAATCAAATGTGTCAATTTCTGAATGCTGTGCAAAACCAATGTACAGTAACTGTAACACATTTGCGACTTTTGTAAGTCAGTCACTTTGGGCTCAAGGATCAGATGGTTATACAAGGAAATCAATGACAATGGTTAAATAGTGACCGTGGTGTCCACCATAGGAAATGCACAATATAAATAAAGCCTTGTGGCCTTGGTATTCTAAAAAGTTGGTTTTGGGAGGAAAATTGAGGGCGTTCAGCCAAAGCACTGATTGAATATTTGCTTCAGAGGTATACCTTGACACTATTGTGTTGTACAATCATCAAAGTGAAAATACGGTTACCTGTTGCAGTGACAATTTTACAGTTTGAGCCCTGAGAGTCCCAGGGACTCGCTGATCAGAAAAGTATGAGTCCCATTATGCATTTAGAGAGTCCCAAATTTCGAATTCTGAAATGGTCTACTTATTCAATTGCGTATGATAATAACACAAACAACAACAATATACATTGATAATAGGTTTATTTCTTATAAACAAATGCTGGAAAAATTTAAATAATTCAGGCATACAAGATTTGCTGAGAATTAGGTTCTTATTTCTTCCCATGGTTAAGTATTTGAGTTCATGAATTCTCCTCTCTTTACTCTGCTTCCAATTATGCAAGGCTTTCTCAAAGTCAACTTATTATCTCAAAAAATTATCCAACTTTAGCTGCTTCCTCTGTGATATCTCCGCAATAAACTTTCGCAACACTTGTTTTAACGTTACCCAACTTGGCAATTGTCTGCCGATCTCGCCAATCTCGTCTCGTGAGAACGGAAATCTTGTCACACGAGATTACTTAACGTGAGATCAAAACAACAATGGTGGCTATTGTCAAACTGTGATCGTTGCTGGAAAAAAAGATTTACCGTAGTTTTTTTTTTTTTTGTTTTGACTGATAAAATTTCCTTGCGTCCCAAAAACGCACATTACTGTATTTGGAACTATGCGTCCCGCGGGAAAATGATGCGTCTAGGACGCGTCTAGGACGCAGAGGTAACGAGATGGTTGCTATTGTGACCCAAGTCTGTGTTTCTGTGTGGATTTCTTTTAGGATTATTAAGCTTTATTTGCGCACAGCACAATGTCAACTGCGCAATCTTAGCCATGATGAGATTTAAGAGTGCTGACGAAATCAATTGTTGCAATTGTTGATGCACAACTTCTCATTATGTAATTTATGCTGCTGAGTGTATTCTCTAAGACATCTGGGACTCCCCACAACCCCTATTTACCAGTCAGCTCAGGTGAAGTATGCAGGACTTGTGCAGGGCAACGCCACTAGAATGGAAACATTATCTGATCCCAATTATTCCTTTTGTGCAGCCAAAAGACTGAAAATGTTAGAAATCACAAAATGAGATCAAATCAATATATCAAAGTGTAAGCCATAATTTTGCCAGTTAAAAATCTAAAAAAACAAACAAACAAGCGTGAGGTAATGCCACGTTAAGTAAGTACGCCTCCGCAGACGTCATCTGTGGAGCAATCATGGGATGTGAAGAACGTGTCCTGGACCGCCCTCACATGGGATTAGAAGGGGGAAGCAGACGAAACATAGGAGGGCATTGAGTTTGGAGGAATGCTGGCATGGGTTCAGCAGACGTGCCTCATCCTGATATATAGGCCACGGTCCACTGACAGTAAGGAAGCACCGTGACTGTTTAAACCAAGATAACATTAGGATTGACTTTACGCATTTCAACACCCCACAGAGACACTAAACTGTTATTTAAATGTATTTGATGCCACAGAGGCCTCAGTGTCGACTTACTGCAAGGCAAGTCACACTCAGCGTGTAGACCTAGCCTGAAGAAAAAAAGTCAATCTCCGTTGCTCACTTGCTTGCTGCAGAATTTCTAGATGAGGTTCGTCACTTCCAAACCCTTGATCTTTTTATTTCCATTGCACGGAACAACTTTTGAAAAGCTCTATTCACCATTAAACAATGTAAAATGTGGAATATATTTTCTTGTGAATTCAGGACAACTTAGAGGCAAGTTAATGACTATTTTGATTCATGATGGTAACAGCTGACACAACTCAAAGATTGCAGAGGAAAAAGAAAATCATTTCAATGTCAGAGTTCTTGACAGATTTCGTTTTACCACATGTTTTATGAGTTGGATAAAAAATAAGTACCAGCACTCCCCTCATTTGACTGTTTCTAGGTAAATTAGGTGGGTAACAGCAGACCATTAAGTAAATAAATACATAAAATGTATATCTTGTTATAGGTAACAAATACTGTCTATGGGTTTTTTTTTGTTTTTTTTTTTAAATCAAGTGAAATGTCCGACTGCATATGAATGCAACTCATGTTTCGTGTGCCAATTTTTACACTTTGACTTCCTCAATTAGTGATTGAATATGATTTCAAAATTGCCTTGTGTTGATTTTGGTTGCAACTTTGTAAAGGGACTAAAACTGAGATGAGGTAAGCCAAAATGTTGAGAAGATAAGTCAAGCTAGACGTCACACCACCAGGCGGGCCAACTTCAAAATAAGTCTATTGAAATTGCATCAATGCTTTTATTTTCAAGCAAGCCTTTGCATTCACATCTTGTTACGTTATGAGTGGGTTTGCAGTTTCTATGACCTGCCTCAGTGATGGCGCAGACGCCAAATAAATCCTGTCTCTCTCTCTCTCTCTCTCTCTCTCTCTCTCTCTCTCTCTCTCTCTCTCTCTCTCTCTCTTTTTTTTTTGAGGCATCTAAATTACTGAAGGAGTTGCAGCTAATTGAATTCGGGAGAAAGAATGAGATGAGTGAGGCAGAGAATGATGAGATACATATATATAGTTCTCAAACAAAACTAGTTCACCCAAAGTCTGATATCATAAAAAAGAATGCCGCCTGACATTTGCGCATAGACTTGCATACATTTTCTCACTTATCGACGTGAGGCTTCCAAATAACAAGAGAAAACCCTTGTACCAAAAATAGGCTTCCAAATAAGAAAGTGTCTGAAGCACACGCAGAGACACGCTGTTTTCTTTTCACACATACGATGTTTATCTGTTTGTGCTGGAAACCAAATACGAGACACTTATGTGAACCAGGCGGCAGAATGACTGACCACATGAGTAAAAAGCAGAAGATTAAAGAATCGCATGTCTTGTGTTTTTCGACTCGGCATGAGGCACAACTCATCTCAGTAGTTCCAGGCTGCTTGCCGTCTTCTACCAGATGTTCTTGAGGTGGATTGATTTATCCAACAACGGGAGGTTTTAGGGTCAGAACCGTAATTTCCAACACCTGTGAGCTGCCACAGCAGACGTTTTGTTTGTGGTATAGTTTGCTTTAAAATATAATCAAGGAATTCTTTTTTGTGATTGTCGTTTCCTTGCTGCATTTGTGAAGCGTAAAAAAAATAAAATAAAAAATCGGTCATAATGCAAGGCAATGGGCAATTGACTTGGATTTGTTCACCTACAAAGACATGCTCTGAAGCCAAGCCAATGAATATGTTGTGCTCGTTTGCATTTTCACGGATACTTTTGGGGAACCAATCCTTTGGTATTTGCTGAGGATCTCAGCTACCGGTATTCACTGTTTTTCACTGAGGCCAAAACAATTATTTCCGGCTGTACATCTGTTGAATAAAAGACAATTCGAAACATATCTTGGTAAACGGGATGTGTTATGATTCAAAGACGGTTTATTTGAAGGTGGAACAATCGATTCAGTGAGATTGCGATTCGATTCACCGTTGTACAGCTCAGTTTGAGAAGCTATCATTCAGTGATTTTCTTGTTGTCATTTTACAATATGAATGAACTTGTCAGTAGGTTAACGTAAATGTGGCGAAAAGTAGGGGTCCAGTTTACAGTCCTGCATGTCTTACTATCATAGCATGCATCAAGATTTGGACAAACACTGCAAGGCCAAGCCATTTCCAGTGACATTAATCATGATATGAAACTGATGTGAAGGCACAGTTAGCACATATTGTTGCTTTCGCGGTTAAAGTGCATACGGTACCTACCTTGACATGTTCTTTCATTGGTCAACAGCTTGTAGCCTTTTTTGCAGCTGCACTCAAAGCTGCCCACTGTGTTCCGACACACATGGTCACAACCCCCATTGTTAAGACGGCACTCATCAATGTCTGCAAGAGGGAAACCGGAGGAGAGGTCAAACACGATAATATGACAAAAGCTGAACTTGCAATTAGAAGTTTTTGTAGCTATCTGGGATGTATTAACTAATGTCCCATTACCTTCTAGTGTCCCGATGAAGCAACATTTATTTTAAGGCCATGTCACACCGCCCTAATTGAAAGTACCATCAATGTATTCCATCATGTATTCATGCAGGTACATGTCATCCTTTACACATTCCAACTGATCTCTTGAAGCAGAAAATACTGCAACCTGCATGCATTAGGCTTTAATGATTTAGCCTGGCCTGCAAATCCTCATAAGCCATCTTCTTCTGATTAGTGAGCACTTTATATCATCAGCCAATACCTAATCAATATGTCATGTGTCCATCGCCGCCTGGTTGATTGTTCTGCCTTGGCACTGATTCGGGTCCATCTTGAATAATTGTTACAAATGCGTTTGCATCATCTGCTAAAATGAATGTCTCCAAAATGGAACAAAATAATTCTGTCCATGATCCATTTCGCTCTTCAGAAGTGGCCGACACGCAACGAGCTGCAGTTCTCCTACGCCAGTGCTGCCTGCGTTTATTTTCCTGCTCTTTCCTCTCAAACCAAACACCAGAAGATGGACTTTTATTAGAGTTGTTAGTGTGCTATTGCCAGCTGCAGGAAGCCAAATGGGTTTTTTTTCACTGTCTTTCAGCAGAACATTTGTTTCCTCAGTATCCTGATGTAATGCTCATTTTATTCTATTGGAGTTAATATGAATAAGGCTGCCTGGTTGCTTGAGTTGAGGGGCTCTCTGACTTGGAAAGTTATTACCAGGATGAAAATTGCTGTAACTACAATGGAAAGTGCAGCTTGAGACCATAGTTTAGTCTTGAAAGCATCGGTGGGCAGCTCTGGTCCTCAAGGTTCCGCAGTCCTGCATGCTTTAGATGTCTCCCTCCTCCAACACACCTGATTCAAGCATTCAGCCTATCAGCAAGAACTGCAGAACCCTGATGAAGACCCTGATCATTTGAATCTGGTGTGTTGGAGGACATCAGGCAGGACAGCGGCCCTCGAGGAATGGAGTTGCCCACCCCTGCTTTAAAGCGACACCCACATCGGTTTGTTAGGTAAGCTGTGCTGGTGGATGGTCTCTTTCATTCATGCCACCTCATTCTCAAGGCATTGAATCGATCGCAGCTGGACTGTTCTGGTTGTCTCAGAAAATGTTTTGTCATCAGTTCATGCATCAAGGCTGGTCATCAACAGCAAAGTTATTCCACATCAACCTCTTTGAACCATGTAATTATGGACCATTTTTCACAGCAGAAAAGTGTTTTCCTCGAACAAAAGCGTTGGAAGGATCTAATTGTCTGAAATGTCTTGAAATGTCTTGCATGCTTGAAGTATAAAGATGGAGGAGACTTTGGTTCAATCATGACAAACGATGACACATGAATGAAACCATACACAGTAGCTGTGACTGTAAAGGGGTCGACCCGGAGAGTGGAGGGTGGCTTTTTGACTGCGAACGTAATTAATGTTGTGTCCTTGACGTGTTCATTACTGTGATGGACTCATCATGAAGTCACTTTGGTGAAATGCACGCTCAAATACTCCATGTCACTAAAGGATTCCCAATGTAAAAGTGAGAGAGAGGCAGCTGCAGATTGAACATGTGCGATCGGTCACCTTTGCAGGTCTTGCGATCCGGCTGCAGCGTGAAGCCGACAGGACAGCTGCAGCGAACTCCAGTCACCGAATCGTGACACGTGCTGTCACAGCCACCATTGTTCACCGCGCAGGTCTCTGCAGGCAAACAAACAACGGGCATCAAAATCAACAATGCTGCTCCGACCTACTTACGTCTCAGGAACCACTGTTAGATTCAAATAGTGTTTGTGTCAGGGAAAAAAAACTAAAAAAGAAAAGCACTGGAGAGATTTTAGTTGCACACAGAAATATAAAAGAAGCAAGGGGAAGGAAAAGAGATGCTGAATGATGACAGTAGAGCGATAATGGTTAATAGCGACAATAATAATGGTGACCAGTAAAGTCATGCAATTAGTTGTAAACACAGGCCAACAGTGTTTCTGAGTTTGGCTGATGTTTGGCCTCTGATTGCGATTTCTGCGAGCGCAATAAAACCTGTGTGCTTGGGGGACAAAACAGCAATTTCAGCTACCTTGCTGCTGTGTGGCTAGGCTGATTAGGAAAAAAAAGAAATGGAAGTAGTCGGTCAAGACGAGTTGGCAGGGTTTCATGTGACGGGGATGAGAGGGAAACAAATTTCAAAAGAGGAGAGGAGAAGAGGACTGAGTGTGTGTAAAAAGATTTTTGCTTTTTAAAAATAATAATAAAATAATACTTTGTAACAATCACTTTAAGTTGATATAATTTATCATCTACTCAGTTCTTTACTGCGTGGAGGGTGGGGTTGGGGTGGGGGGAATGACTGCAGGCTGGGAATGTAAAATCAAGCACAGCAGGGTGAGTGGTAAAAATGCTCCGCTACGCAGCAGAATTGACGCATCCAAGCAAAACAGGTGCTTGGCGTGATGTCATTCTATGTTTAATTAATAGCCGTCGCATAGACAACACTTCAAAACAGTGCCTGTTGTTGCTGAAGGCTGTCCATGAGACGCCCACATATCAGGTACATGATTGATGAAAAAGGTCTGACGCGATCATAACGCAATGAACGTCCCAAACAGTGTTAAAATGTGGGTTACCATGGATTATTCAAGAGCTAAATCCTGGTAAAGATAACATCAAGAGAACCATACGGTAATGCTGTGTTTTCTTTCCTCGGCTGCTGTTAGCAGTTGAAGGCACTGTTCATCCTTTCCTTAATCTGTTGACAATATTTAGTCGAGCGTCATAGCTGGCGGAACATCTTGGCTCTCGTCGCGTGTCGGCGAGACGGCTTGACACGATGGTGTGCAACCTGATAGCAGTGGGTAGAGTGGGCCTATGACTTGATCCCT